GAAACTAAAAGATGAGTCAAGTCGGCTGCAATAAGCTAGTCAAAGTCAAAATGAATAATGAAGGCTCCTGTAGCGTTCTAGGCTGTTTTTTGCCTTTCTTTGCGCCGCTGCAAACACACGACCTGGGCGTAGTGCAAGCTGCTCAAAAGATTTGTGTGTGTGAATCCATCTTGGAGCAGAAGGGTTTTCTGATCTCATTTACTGTTTGCTTCTGTCTAGGTTCCAGATTCCAGATTGATGATTCATCATTTAATCTGAATCTAATCCTTGTCTTAAGTCTTATATCCTTGTCTTACAAACGCTAGGCATTAGGACATCAGTTGAGTTGAGCTGCATCACTTTGGGTTTTCGACACGATCACGCTGTGGTCTGCTCGCCCCAAAGCTTAAAAGCATGGCAGTCCTACAGATCATGCCTGGACTCAAAATATATTCTCAAGCAAGGTAGTCATGTTGACCCCTAAATCCTAAATCCAGCCTTTGAGGGGAAAAGTTGTATGAATGAATCCAGAAGATCTCAAATGAAAGGCATGTTCACATATACACTATGAGACTACATCCATGGTCCATAACAGACTACATCCATTAAATCACTCAGTCTGAGTGTGATGTGTCCGTCAGCTCGTACTTCTCGTAGGTCTCACAATTGTGATCACGCGTCAGCTTTGTCCTTGCAGTTGCTCTGAAGTTTCCCGAGTTTCCTCGTCATCACCGGCCTCTTTGGTATAGGTGATGGTGAGAATGATGCCCTCAACTGCGTAATCGACCATGGTGATGGTGGTGTTGGAGAGATTTGACTTGCAGTCAGGCGGACACCCTCATCACTGCCACTGCTCACTGTCACAGCACTTGGACTCTTGACATGTTTGTCTTCATGTGAGCATTGTGAGTCAACTTGTGAGTCTTCCTCCATGTGTTCCTTCTTATGCTGCTTCCATTGTTGCTTGGTGAGAGGAGACTTCAGGTCATGGTCAGGTGTTGTCCTAATCCTTTTCGCAGGAGGTGTTTGCATCCCATCAAGACCATCAGCATTGTGATTCACCAAACGAGGGGGTGTTGTGGTCATAGGCAAAGGCGGAGAGGAAGGTGAGGGTGAAGGGTTTGCACCATCGATCAGCTGCCTTCGCACCCATGCTTGCGGAGGATCAGTTGGCAACCCCTTCATGAACTGATCGCTAACCCTTTGGCGCACATGTTCTGGTGTATCGATGCGGATCAGCTCATACTTTGTTGGGTTTCCAGGACATGATGGACCTGGTTCAAAGATAGCGTTCATCATTTGTCTTTCTCTCACCACTGATCGAGGCAAATCACCGCCTTGACTGCCAGGCATGGCTACCCAAAAGCAGCCTAGGAACACGATCTAGAAGGCTTGACAAATCTGACACGGCTGCGCATGCAACAAGTTTATATTCGCGCACATCAACTAGTCTACAGTCTACAGCTTGCAGTCTAGGGTCTATGACCCTCGAATCTATGTTTAAATTCTGAAACTGAAAACCAAAGATTCTGGGGCATCCACATTTCTTCAAGAAAGTTCCATGTCGAATTCGGCGATCTGGACGGTCACGTTCCGCACGTAGCAAGATCTCTCCGAGTTCGCTTGCCATGCTTTCGCCAAACTGCTACACATAAATGGTGTTGGTGTTTGTTGCTGTGGTGGGGAGTCAACAGTCTGATTTAGGAGTTTATGATTTGCCTTGTTTGTTGCTGCGCCGCAGATTTCCAGGGTTGCAAGCATGTTGGCCCTTCAATGCTGGCCCTTCAGCTTGAAATACAAACAATGTTGAAGGAAAACACAAACATATCTTGTTGATTCAGAATTTGGACCATCAGGCACACATGAACCACTCTAGTGTCATCTGGTGCTTATTGTTTGTTGTTTGTTTCTTAGTTGTTTTCCATGTTGTTGAACATATGTCTGTGGGTTTGGTCGGCCGGAAGCGAATGTAACCAAGATCAGTTCTGACAAACAACCCACACACAACAATCAATACAAGTGCATTCCAAATGGCTTCATGTGTTTGCGTCCTGTGTCCAACAAATTGCAATCGTTGAGTCAACTCAAAATCGACCACAACCATCACATGGTAGATTGCACAGACTCTTCTCTACACCATTACATACACCAGTGCACATATGAATCCTACATCGTACAAACGGGTATTGTACACCGCACGGATCACCGTACACATGTATCGTACACTGCACGGACCACCGCACACATGTACCGCACACTGCGCGGTACACCGCGCAAGTCATTGTACACTTGCTTCGTTCATAGCAACCGCTCGGCACGGTCACAGCTCACCATAAACATAGGTTCACATGGCTTTCAAATTTAGATAAGACATGACCCTCACCAAGGGCGAAGGTGTTCCAATCCGGCAAGAGATGTTAGACAGAATGTGATCTGCAGTAGTCAGAGTTCGAAGCCAGACAAGACGGCCCGATCAGCCCCTGCTATACCAGGAGCATGGCTTGATGACATCAGGAATCAGGACTGTCGACGAGGCCACAACCAAAGCCGTGACTGAAGCCAGGGAGTGGAAGAGGTACAAGGACTTCATTGCCGATTGACTGAGTGGGGAAATGAAACAGGGCGTCGCGGCGTCGAGTGGCGTCGTCGAATTGGGTCGACGTCATAGAGCATCCATGAACCTGCGCAAGAAGGCTGTAACCTATCTACAAGGGACGGCTCGTGGCGGAGAAAGTTAAACTTGCAGAAGGCGATGTGTGCGCTGTGACTCACCAACCAGTGAGCCAGAGCCACGTCTGACGCTTGCTTCACTTGCAGCTTCGCGTGTGTGTGTGTGTGTGTTGCCAAGGTGAGATAGGTCAGCGCCGTCGCACTTATATCCCTGTGACTACAAGTGGAGCGATGCTGGCAAGATCATTGCGCTGATGTGCGCTCATGTGGACGGTCTTTTGGTCGCTCATTCGATAAAGGGAAGTGCAGCGAAGACAGTGTTGGACAAATTCTCAGTCGGCAAGATTGAGGAAGGACGATTCCGATATTGCGGAAGATGCTTGCCCAGGACCCGGACTGCGCCATGCGCATCGATATCTAGGGCAACGCAAAAGGACAAGCCGGTGTGGCAGGTGCGGAAGACTTGACTTTGGTTATCGAGTGAATGAACTGCAGAGGACGCGCAGTCAGGGCAAAGGCAACGGTGCAGAACCCCAGGGACGCGAGCCAAGTCATTGAGCTGGCGCTCCAACGGATTATATAGTTCCAAGTTTTCGGAGCGGCAGGCTAGGTACATGAAGTATTCTCTGAAAAGTTGCAATCTTTTGCAGAGATGACTGGAGATGACTGGAGTGGCATGGCCTGATGATTGCGAGCTTCTCAGACGCAAGTTTCGCGAATGAACGAACCAGGTAACCAGAGTACAGTGTCCCTTGATTTGATCTCACGAGTCTCACGAGGCTCTTCGACTTTGAAGCGAGCAAGTGTGCAGAGCAACGCTGCAGTAGAAGCATACGCCCCACAAATGCAGTAGAGTGACATGTGAGATGCATGGCAGTATTCAGTCGATTGCGAGCTGGCGCGAGGAATGCCAAAAGAGGATGAAGAATTTCTAGATTACTGACTGGCGGGGCTGCCGTTCACTCAGCGATCCCTTGCGCGCTGATGCGAAAAGCGCAAGACAATCGCTTGGGGATTGAGTTGTCGAGCTTGAGACAAGGATTGTGGCTCGCGAAGGAGAGAAGGCAGCGGATCGCTAGGCGCCACACAGACGGACCTGACGGACACTTGCGCCCAGCTATAGGCTATAGCTGATTGTTTAACATTGTGCGCTCCATTGGAATAGATAGAGATGCGTAGAATTAGAACCGTGGACCGTGTATGCGCAAGAACTGCGCATCACACGTGTAGATAAAACGAGCATGAATGACTTGATCCAGTCACTTGACACTTGCACTATGTACAGCTGCCCAGGGGTGACACATACTTGCCGACTGGGCTCAAAGGGCTTTTGAGTTGTTGGATACGAAAACAAACGGCTCGTGTCAAGATTCAACAAAGTCTAGGTCGGCTCTTGAAAGCAAACAAATCACCTTAGACTCCCAGCCAAGCAAGCTCCTTCATTCGATCGATTTTGTTCTGTCGTGTTCAAAAAGATACGTGCCTTAGGCATGCAACTATTTCTAGCCGCAAATTTGAAGGCCTCTAGCCTCAGCATCAACAGGTGGTTCAGCATATTGAAATTTCAGACTTCGTGCCATGATCGTTGGTTTGATTGATCGGAGCTAAGGATGTAGTTCCGGTTCAGGGTGCCCATGTAAGCCGAACAGTAGCAAGGACGTCCTCGCAACTTGACATCATCACATTGGGTCACCTTGTAAGCTTTGTTTGAGTCAACCCACACCGAAACTTGGAATCGCAGGCTCCATTCAAACTTGAATCCTGTAGATTCATCCAACCTTCATAATCTTTGACCTTGGTGATTTCAATGCACGAAACACCACAGGTTTTAAGGGGTTTTGAGGATCAGTTGCGAAAGGTGTTGTAACCAGGCCGTATTTGAAGAAACGGTCGTTCTGGACAATGTATTCAACCTGTATAATTGCTGCGCTGCAGTCAGAAGATGTGCGCATTCCAACAGGGACTTATGTAGTGCCAATAGCCAAGCATACAATTCAGCAGTGTAGGAAGCCAATAGCCAAGCATACAATTCAGCAGTGTAGGAATTTTGCACAATGCCAACAACAACACATGATCTGATCAATTTGCAAGAAAAACTCATCCACAAAGGTTTATGTCGATCATTTGCAGGTATGTCAAAAGGCAAGTCTCAATATCTGCAGATTGCTTTATTGGCAGCTCAATTGTATGAGTCAGGGAGTCCTATTTGGAGCATGTTCTCTCCTAATTCTTGTGAGCATTCTAAGGAAACGCACGATGCATGACAGCATGACTCCGCTGTACCCCAGTAGACGGGTGTTGTTCTTTTTTCCACAGGCGCTTGCCAAATTTTTAGCCTTTCTGCTCGCTAGGATCCTTGGACTATTTCCTACGTTGAGTGTCATTGCACTGGCACGCGAATTGGCGATGGCATTGAGGCGTTCATGCGCTTGTGCAATGTCACACCCTGCCAAATTTGGCACAACGTTTGTTTATCTTCATGGCTCCTTTTGTTTGGCTCTGTGCTCGCAAATTTTTGTCCTTGATCTGTTTTGTCAAGCCTGCAATTGGAATTGGGTTTCACGCTGTGGCTATAGCATGCTATAGCCAGTGACTTTTTTTGTTGGGCAATGGATGCGACTCTGTGGTCACTGTGGTTGTCACCCAATCTCAGATTCACGGTCTTCTTAATGCCTTTGAGAGCATGGGTGGCAGAAAACGGGCCAGGGGCTCAGCTTGCAATGGCATCTTGTCCCGACAGACAAGTAGACCCCTTAACTGCTTGGTAGTGTTTCTGCAGAAAGCCAGCCCTTTGCTTGGACCACTGGAAGAATTGCAGACATTGCGCTGATGCGCACAAGGCAATCACATCCCATGTGTATTGGAGCTAGTAGAGAAACATGTACAAACTTGGATATTTTTGCATGCGAAACTTTGCGAGGATTCGTATCTCGATTAGTAAAGGACCTGTTCCCCCATGTTGGATCTGCAAGGACGGATTCAGACAGAGGCCAGGCCACCACCCTTTTGGGTGCGTCGCCAAAAGGTGCCTGGTCTGCTTTGACCCCCAATAGCTAAGGCTCCTTTTAAAAGGGGCCCTTCTCAAAAGAGGTCCTGGATTTCCCTGAGAATCGGCCCAATTCTCAAGCTTAGCAGCCAAGGCGGGAGACACCACAAATATTGCGCAGGAGCCTCGAAAAGCCTCCCAAGCCTCTCAAGCACTGCAGTGGTGCTGCAAGCACTGCAAGTAAGTCTCACAGTTCGGATACCTTTGCGGCACATGTATGTGACATGCGACCTGTGGATACATAAACGTTGATACACTTCCATGTTGTTCATCTAGATTTTAGGGGATTTGATGAGATGTGTATCAACATGTATTCTTGCCTTGTCCAAGTCTTGTCAAGTGGTTAATGGTATTTAACTTCTTCAATTGGAGCAGCAGAGCCAGCAGAGCTGGCAGAGCCTTAGGTTAGGCTCTGTGAAGGGCAACATCGCGCATGCAAACTGTGCTGCCGGAGCCACTGGACTCATCAAGGCGCTACCGATGCGGTCTGAAGATCGTTTGATTGCAGCTTCACATGTATATATAGTAGCTTCTTGCTCATAGTAGTAAGGCCAGGAGCCCCTAGTAGCGTCTTTGCTCCTTAGTAACGTCCTCATTTCACAGCTGATGACATCTGATGTAGCAACTTTAGATTCTTTCCCGTCACCTCGCTACAGAAGCCGGCTGATGCCACTTGCCTTGCTGCTAGGTGCTTGCTATGGCACGAGCCAAAAGCTTGGCGGTGCTCTCAGGGTGGGCCTGGTGAAAGAAGCGATCCGAGCCCTAAAGAATCTGACCCGTTCAAAAGGCTGCGGCTAGGTATTTTTTTCATGCTAGTTCGTGCAAACATCAGTCTTTTCGATGTGGGGCAGACGGTGGGTCAAGGAGGAAGGCAGGGATAAAACCATCCTGCAACATCGAGCCTGGCCCATCATCCAAACACTAAGACTACGCGCAGGCCAGCCCACACGGCTTCCGTCTAAACATTACTCAAGAGCAATCCCGCTTGGCCATCATCCAAAATCGAGTCCAGCCCTCCCAAGTCGTCCACACCGGACGACTGGATTTCCTGTTTTTGCCAGGGATTGTTGCTTTCAAAATGCCGTGCCAACAATGTGATGTTACTTACTTCAGGATGCTTATGCCCAAAGACGGAGTGAATGGCCTTACAAAGAGTCCCGTGCACAGCCATGCTGTTTTGAGTATCGTTCACATGTCAAGCCGGAAGTAGGTTGGGCTGTTTACATCATCCTTATTCCACCACATCATCTAGCGCACGCCCTCCCATTCTACGATGCGAACAACATGATTTGCTGACGTCGGCTCAGGCACCAACGGCCAACTTCAAAGAGCTGAACCCGAAGATCAACTTAGAAGCCACAGCTTTCTTTGTTAACTCAGAGGCTGTGGGCGATGGCATGTCAACATACCAGTTTGGTTTGCTTGCGTAGTCAACTCAGTCTTCTCTGGAATAGATTCTCCACAAAGTCGTGACTTTCCTGAAAAATATGAAACCTAACTTCTGAAAGGGCGCTCGGTTTTCTTGTTCACCGGGCGATTGCAATAGGTCTTGATTGATGCTGACAGGTATGTGCATGGAGACCCAAGCCATTGATGAGAGCTGGTGCGCCAGTCATTTGAGCTTTATGGGACCGAGATGCTGTTGAAATCCTGTTTCTTCACTCTGAGATCAGAGGTCCTGCCTTTTATCAAGGATATAATGATATAATAGTATATATATATATACACATGTTACATATGTATATACACATTGACCTTGAAATACATGTCAGGTGTCAGCTCTTTTGGCATCGGCGGCACCAATGCTCACACCATAGTGGAAGAGGCTGGGCCCACCTAACATAGTCTTGCTTTTGATGAGTGTTGTGGGCAAGGAGTTGGAATATCAAACTCTTTGGAATGCCATCCTGCTTTTCCTGCTGGTGCTTGCGATCCGTGTTTGAGGGGCTCTTTGAGCAGTAGGAGTATGAAATTCGTCGGTATTCGCACAGCTCAATTTTTGTGTCCGTCCTCGAGATATAATCATATTTTGTATGTATATAATTAGGAGTAAGAGTATTACTTTGGGGGTGCAGAACCGGCAGAATTTGCATGAGCAGCACGGTGTGGTTCCACTGTAGTAGCACGTTTCATCCAAGTTTTTTTTTTAACCCATCGATCAGATTTAGAAGGTGCACTTGCCTTGTCATGCCACCAAGAACTTCCGTTCGATCAGGTGCTGGCACCAGTCGTCGAGATTCACACTACGGCAAAGAAGCTTGGGGTTCCAAAAGGGGAGCAGAACATGTCCAACAAGATTCCTAGTTAACATGACTTTGGTTTTTATGAAGATGCAACATGTCAAGCTGGGTCTCAAGTTTTACATGCTGAGGTTCCACAGTCCACAAGTGGTCTTCCGGAATTGCATGACAGTTCATGAACGAGCCACTCTCGAAGCCTTGGGGCGATTCCGAAGGTTCCCCACAAGAAGCTGAAACAACACGAAAGCTGTGCACGGACATTTCTCTCCGAAAGCTAAGGCCTTTGGGATTTCATCTCTTGACCTTTTCGGTCTGCCTCCCTGGACCAGACGGGCATCGGACAGACGCAGACAGACACTTTTAGATGTACGTGTCATGTTGGTGAGAACCGTTTTCTTGTTTCTGTTATTGACAGTTGGGCAATGTCGCTCAAGCCATTCTTAAGTGTAACACCTTCGAAGAGGTTGCTAGTGGCTCCATCTCCCCTTGAATGGGAGCAAGACCTGGTGGAGAGTGGAAGAACACAAGAGCAAAGAATAAATAGCATACCCACCTCATCAAGCCCACTAGTTACTAGTTGCTGGAAGTTTTTGCATCGACTTAGGCGAAGACACCTGGATCTCTCTACAAAACAGCGGACAAGGTCATCAATGCATTGAAAAAGGCCAGCGTTGCAGCGGAATGCTCTCAGGGGCGCCGGAGTAGCTGCTTCCCGCATCAAGCCCCTGTCACAACCGGAACCTGTGCTGCAGGAAGCGGGGCCATCCATGGACAAGGTTGCCTACACACTGCAGGCTGGGACACTTTTTCAAATTTAACTTACGTAGCCTTTGTAGATGGATGGAAAGGATTGGAATGCAGACTGAAAGTTTTCTGAACCTAGCTTGCGATCTATTTCTCAAGCGTGCTGGCCCATGGTCCTTGAGGCTCAATCGTACAGCATCTTGAATATAAGAACTGTCAAACATATCTCAAATTACACATCGTACTGGAATGCACTCCTGTCGAACTCTGAAGGCAGGCCGAGCCTCTTTGCCCCTCCGAAAGAGCGTTGTGGTTGCCGGACACCGTGCAGAAACGCAAAAAGCTGCAGAGGTGCAAAGTTGCAGAGTGTTGTGGTGCCACAAAGAAATGGGAGAAATACTCACTTGTTTGAGACAAGTCGCTCGAAGAAAGGATCTTTAACATGTAAGGAAACAACTTTACCAAAATCAGGACACTTCAATGAACATCACTAGTGACTAGTGACACTAGTATTTCCAGCCATTCGACATGTTTTGGTTCTTATTGTATAGATACAAGAACCTTGAAAGTCCTCACCACCAGGGTTTGCGAGCAAGCTGGCCGGACTTGGAGGAATTGGAGGACAGCTGCAAATGAACATGCTGCTTTTGTCTTTGATGCATGGGCATTTGCATTTCTTTGCTTGGTCTCCTTTTGAGAATCTTCATGTTTTTGGAAAAAGCAGCCAATTACTCAATCATTTTGTTCTCCCGCAATGAAAGACGGAGGCTTTGTGCCAGGTCAACTGTCGGTCGGTTTGCGAATCTGGACAACTGCGTAGGAACTCGAAGATGCCAAGAAACGGCCACCAGCCAGAGACTTTGGGGTGTGTACAGGCTGAAGTGCAATATCGAAGGCGCAAGCGCGAATGAAGAGACGCAAGATTTCGCGCTCACATACACACCGGGAAAGAGCAAGTTTCTGAAAAGGTGATTGGAGGCCGCCTGAAACGTAGGTGTATATGACAGGACCTGGCCTGGGTAGACCACAACAGGTGAAATCCTAGAGACAGACTTTAAGGATGAAGACCCACGTTTCAAGTTCAATTCCGGACATCTCCAAGTACCAAGTTTCAAATCCAATCGCAAAATGGAAGTGCAAGTCTGCAGACCTTCACTTGCCTGGCAACAGACTCGTGGGGCATGCGAAGTGCTTGAACTGTCACTGAAAGACACTGAAAGGACATACGTCCAGGCTTCAGGATATCACCACAAATCAAGGAGTGTTTTCGTTGAGTGGTAACTATGACTGCACACCACTCCCCCTGCAAAACTATAGTACAACAGCAATCGCAGAAAATAGCTTGATGTGCTGCAGAGATCCCTGCCTTTCCACCTCTTAGGACTGTTTTCCGGCTTCGGGTCTCGTTTGACCTTCTCACAGTGAGACATGCCGTTTAAGAGGTCATCGACTGTAGCGAAGATCACCCAAGGTCATCGTTTGCTTTGCCGAGGTGGCCTTTGTGTTTCCTGGACAAGGAAGCCAGCACCAACCTGAGGATGAACAGTTTTGTTTGGATTTGTGTCTTGTGAATGTGGAAAGAGTAGTACACCTGGGCATCAGACAGAGTGTGTGTTTGAGGTATTTGGGCATGGCCCGTGGCCTGTATGAGCAGGTTCGGTCGCCTGTTTGCTGTGAAAAGCTTTGCCTGTACGCGCTGGACATTTTCACGAGGATAGCAGCCGATACAATACCAGTTTGCCTTGTATGAGTAGAGATCCAGTATATTAAACTGTTGCTAAGATGCCAAGATTGACTTTGTTTCCAACTTGAAGACATAGTTTGGGCATGTCGTTTGTTCTTCAATCAAGGATGGTAGGATTTGAATTGCATTAGCCCGAGAGTCTAGATGCAGTGCTGGCCAAGCACTTTTTGAGCAACTGTTCTGCATCTTGAGGTAGCTCTCTTCCAGAGGATTGCTGATCAATGCTGTGAAATGCTTGCCTCGCTGGGGATCCAAGTCGCTCAGATGCCTTCGCAAGATGGCGGTCTTCAGGTAGATCAGGTAGTCTTGAGACTTTGACGTGATTTAGTCTGATCTCTTCAAGTCTTTTACAGACATCCTTTCAATAAAGAACACTGTCTTTCAAGTTGTTTTGTTTCGTCAAGAGCAGTCTTTTCCCGGACTTTGAGAGGCCAAAACTGCTGGGCAAAGACCTGCGGCCGCTGCTGTTTGGAGATATCTACACAGAGGATGAAGCGCAACAGGACATACACAATGCATTGAGGAAACTCTACGAACGATCCGTGCTGTTGACTCTTTTTGAGTTCCAACCAAGGACGCTGCTTAATTAAAGAATCTTAAAGACCGGATGCGTTAGCTGTGCCGAAGAGTCTGTGCAGATTCCCTTTCTGCCTCGCCATTCCGAAGAGTCTGTGGACAAAAAGGGAAGCCACACCAATCAGGAGATATCATCATCTCGTGCATTTTGCACGGCGACAACTCTTTGAAGGCTTCAACATTTCAGACATTGAACCCATATTCACAAGAGTGTTGCCCATTCGTTCAGCACCTTTGTAGCAGACATCCGAGCTGTGCTTCTGCTGGTATCGCATGGCACATTCTCCAGACTTGCTCTTGAATGGGTTTGTTTCCTCACATACTGTAGTGACAAGAGCAAGCCCAAGCAACCCTGTAGCAACCTGATGCTTGGGCTCTCAGTCGCAGGAATTTGAGAAACCATCAGTCCAGCTCTCAATAACCAGCCAACTGCCGTTTCTCTTGAGCGGAATCAATGCATGGCTAAGGCTCGTCAAAGCTTGACTAACTTGACCATGTAAAGTAAAGCCTTCGAAGTCAACGCAAGAAGACTAGAATGCGAGGTGTTCACAAGGTCAGGCTTGACACACAAATCCCAGGTAATGCAACCATCTCTCTTCGTGGTGGAATATGTCTGGGGCACTCGGCGACTGCTCAAGATCTCGGCGACTGCTCAAGATCCCGGAGACCTAACAGACGTCAGTCCAAGACTTTTTGTTCGTTGGGACTCTCAAGACATTGCACCAAGATTCTTCACCCTGAACGTTACAGACCGTTCTTTGGTATTCTGATCATATACATATACAGAATATATATATGATATATGCATAATATAAATAATATGATATATAATATGTATTGAACCAGATAAGTATGTTTGAGATCTTCTGTATTCGTGTAGGTCCAGCTTCCAAACTTCGCGCGACAATTGGAGCATGATGGTTGAACGTCAGCAACCAGAGTTGCTAGCAATTTGGCTCAAAGAAGCAGGTGCAACAAAAAGTGCAGTGTTTCTGCCGATGGGTTCAAAGCGTTGCTTTAGCACCTTGGACATAACTAGCTGACTTATAGCGTCGCAAAAGCTGATCTATCTTCGTTCCGTTTTTCATTCGGTCTCTGAAGTAGGGTTTGTTCTATTTATTTATTTATTTACTTAACAATGCTGATTTGCTCAGATACTGTACCATTGCTCCACTTTGCTTTGTACTGGTAGTGTGTTCAGGGGTGTCCCTCTAGCGCTTTTGCTGCCCTCCACCACAGGAAATGGAGGAGAGGTTTACTACGGCGAGGTCCACGAGTTGGAAGATGGGAAGCTTGACTCTGACAAGCGATTTCTTGTGATTTCAGAGGTGAGATTTTTGAGATAGGATTTCTTGTTGATTGAGCTCGAAGCTTTCTTGTCCTACACTACTGTAGATGTCAAGAGCAGCTCAATTCTCTGCACACTCGTTCAAGACATTTGCTGGCAGAGCCAGAGCTTAAGGACTTGTTTGCGACATGGGTTTGGTCATCAGATATTCACTGCCCAGGCTGCAAAGACAGGAGCCTTTGTTTAATTGGAGATACAGGTTCTCGTACGGCACTCTTTCTTGGGCGTTTTGCATATAGACTGTTCATTTTCAAAACGAGAGAGAGGTTATTCTCTGAGAGAAGAGAGAGGAAACTCTGAGAGACTTTGGGCTACGTCCCTCTGAGGTAAACAAGTAATTTATGGTCGTTATGAAGGATCATGGAGAGAAGGTGGGCTCACTGGCTCTGGTACTTTCAGCTGGAGTGACGGCACAGTCTACGAAGGCTTTTTTGTGGATGGATGCCCCCATGGGCATGGCCGGATCCAATGGCCGGAGGGCACGGTATATGATGGAAATTGGAACTTTGGAGAGTTGCACGGACAAGGAACCTTTATTTGCGGATATCGACATGTGGAAAGTCATGGGATCTTCTGGCGAAACTGCCTACGCGATCACAATGGCCACTGGATCAACAAGATCAAACAGCGAGAAGAGCTTCGGCAGCAGCACTTGAAAATCAACGCATACCCTACAAACAGATTTGTCATTCCGGTGCACTTTTGCAGCACTAGCGAATTACTGGAACAAGCACTGGCAGTTTCTCAGCAGCCGCCACATTTGATTCCCTTCCTGCTGGCAACACATTCCACGACTGGGAGAGCTCCACCGCTGGATTTCGTTGAGGACACAGACCTGGGCTGCAGTGTGGAATCGACGGTTCACATCGGCTATGCTGCAGCTGAAAAGATCCGAGCACGTGATACTGACTCCCTATTTCAAAAGGCGATAGGAACAGCCTTGCGAGAAGCCAGACCCTTCACCCTCATATGGGGTGATGATGAACCGGTCTCAGGGACTGAGCCAGCAGCCATGGATCTTTGGGATCTCGAAAATTCTCGACCGATTGCTGAGAAGTCGCTGTGCTGCAACGAAGGATGGACGGTTCAAAAGACCTCAGAAAGGCTCTAACAAGGCCTTTCTGCCTTGCCTTTTTAGAGCATTGCACATTCTTTATTTTTTTTACATCACACTGCTGAATTGATCACTGCTCCAGAACTACTGTATATATCCTCACTGCGATTTCATGCCCAGGTGGTCATTGAAAAATTTCTTCTCGCCCTTGGTGCTCCCTACAGACATCTTTGATTTGCAGCACTTTCAGTGTCTCGGAAGCTGTGACTACCTTCTTTGGATGGTAGACGAACAGGGAATGTCTTTCTTTGACAAGCCTGATCTCTTTCAGAACGGCAGGATAGGTTGTTTGCGTCTCAGTACTTGCACGTACATTGGCAACGTTGAAATTATGTAAGGAGAGCTGTCGTGGACACCGGCCAGCCATGTAAAAAGTAGAAAGCAGACAACACATAAGCCCAATACCTCTCAGGATTACATGTATATATATATAGACAATATATTTATATATAGTCATAGTACTTCTGGTATCTCTGATTTTCTAAGTCTTTGTCTGTGGCTTTTGACAGTTTTGGTGTCTAGTCAGGTCTCGTCAAGAATTGCGAGCAGACGGTTTGTCCTAAAATCAGATACAAGCATAACAGTCTGCTCGATTTCATCACGTTTGAGAAGCAGTGCCACCACGAGGTGCACTGGCTTGGCTAAGTCCTTTCTGCAAAACACAGAAGATCAGCTCCTTGGAGAGCTTCAGCTCCTCGGCTGGCATTGCTTTGCTTTCAACGATATCTGCTCTAGTTACTAGTAGCTTCTAGCTACTACTAGTAATGCCCTTGTTAGTAGTCGCTAGGAGTGGGCTTGATATCTTTTTGAGCTCTTCTTCTTACGGCCAGGGGCATTATTTTATTTCTTTCGCTCAAGCAGATGGCCATCCGAAATCTAATCTGCTTAATGAAAAGACAATTGTTGGGGAAGCTCCTTTCAATCAAGGAAAGATTCACAAGAAGAAGTAGACCCAGCACATCCAGCGATCCAACCACCACCACTTCTCCACCCTTTGCGCGTGCTGCTCATGTCCCTCAAGCGAATACCTGACGTTTGTGAAGAAGAGTCAGTGAGGAAGCACGTGATTGCCAGATTTTCGTCCGCCCTTCCCGTTCACCGCATAGCTGTTTTTGTTGCATGCTGAAGCGAAACTAAGACATCCAGACTTGCAGCTTTCCAGACATTGACATCAATGACATTCAATGCAGCTATTGGAGCAAGAAGCTACTAGTAACAAAGGGCATCGCTACTAGCTGCAAGAAGCTACTAGTAGCTCCTGGCCTTGCTACTAGTAACAAGAAGCTACTAGGAACAGACCGTGCTTTGCTCCACAGCTTCCCAGACCCTCATGCGTGGGGATTTGGCACCAGACCCTCCTCGCGGTCGCAGCAAATTGAACCGTTTCACAGCCAAGCTTCCGAATAGCGGTGAGCAAGAGCCAAAAGGACCCGCAAGGGCCTGCACGAGCTGCCAGTTTGCATACACCCGAAATCACTTGTTGGTGACGACAACATCCAAGGCTAATATAAGTTGTTTACACCTTCACTGACTGCACTGTCTTCGACTTACACTCTAGTCACATGATACTCGGATGCAGGTTGGAGGCCTGTTTGACCCACTGAATTTGGTTGCTTGTGAAACAATAAGTTTCATGCCGCATGCTCAACCCATTGCATCCACAGGCGCTGGCACAGATCTTGCTTGCAGTCGACGCAGTGGACCCAGAAAAATGGAGGATGTTGCCAAAAAGAATGCTTTTTCTTGAGTTCTTGATCCTAGCAAGAAGGGGAGTGACCCGAAGATCTATACAAGGCGAGCATAGTAGAGGACGACCAAAGCCTGCCATGACCAGTGCAGCACCGGGTTGTACTTCCTGGCTTCATCGTTATTTTTTTGATGGCGACCTTTGATCTATTCGATCCAGCAAACATAAAAGTCTATACTACCATGTTTTGGCCATAGCTCAAGTTGTTTGGCCAGAAGAGCCCAGCTGTCTAGAACATGGTCTGCAGTACTTCTGATCCAGACATGGGTGAAGCGAAATAGGACATTTCAAGTGACATCAGGTGACCACAATCGAGGTGTTGAGCAGGAAGTCATTTGTATTGGACCCACACGTCATGGTCGATCGTCACGTCATGGGTCGATTTTCTCTGACTGGCGAGCTGCATAGTGTAGCTAGCTTCGCCTAGCACTGCGCATAGCTAGCTGCTTTCAGCAGAACATGATCTTGCTTTACGGGTTGCCGCGTAAGGCCTAGCGCCTAAGGGTATATAGGGTTTAGCAGTGAACACCTGCTACACGAGCCACCGGGCCGACGTACATGCCGCACTGAAACCCTGCAAGAACACAAGATATGTTTTATCCATCGCGTATGTTTGTATGTACAGCCCATATATACTCCGCTATAGGTACTGCAGACACGTGACTCATGACGTGTTTTGGCTCAAGGGAAAAAGACGTTCCGTAACGTCGAAACCTCGTTTTCATGGTAGCGCGTGAGCCCGGTGAGAGCGAAAGGGACAAAGCGCTGCGCATCAAGGAAGAGAGACATAGTAAGGTAGAGACCTCAGAGGAGGAGGATCAAGAGATCCCGGGAGCGGCCGCTTCGGCCGCCCCGAGCGGAAAAGAAGAGAAGGAGGAGGAGCCTTTGCCAGCCACATCAGCGGCGGAACCAGCCGCAAACACCACTCCGGCGGTTGTAGAAACTGCCGAGACAACATCAGCGGTTGAAGGAACCGCGGAAACAAAAGAAGAGGAAACAAAAGAAGAGACCACAAAAGAGAAAGAAGGAGGAGAAGAAGAAAAGCCTGAGCAAGACCCCATAGTAGAGCCAGAGGCTGAAGCGGCTGATCCAGCCGCACAGCCATCCTCATCTGGCCGAGTGATCGCCGATTTCCAAACCTCCCCAGAAGGTGTCAAAACAGGTTGGGAGGTCCGCGGCACTCACGCCAAATATACCCCAGCCAAAGTTGATCCCAAAGCACCTTGGAGGGTAAAGAAGAACATTTGGGGACAGGTCAAGAAGCATCCAGAGCCACAATCCGGATTTCGACTTCGAAGCAAGACTTCGCTTCAGTACCGGAGGCTCAAGGACCTGGTCAGGCTGGAGAAGAAGAAGGGTGTCATCACAGAGGATCTGAGGAGGCGCATCAAAGAGTTCGGAAAGGGGCGCACTCCACAAGAGATCAAAGAAGAGCGGGAAGAGCAAAAGGTCCGCAATCAAGAGAAGCGGACCAAGAAAAGGAAGGCCTCAGAAGCGGCTGATCCAGCCGAGGAGGAGGAGGTCGAAGAAGAAGAAGAGTCGGTGAGCCATCCAAGTCCAGTTCGACAGCCTCGAACACCGGACGGGCCACCGCCGGCTAAGCGACCGCAAACCCGCGACACCCAGCGGGGACGGGCGGTCTGGGGGCGTGCACTGGAGTTGAACCTCCGCATCGTCGCCCTAGCCAACGAACGGGCCCAGCGATTGACGATAGAAAATTGGAAATTAGAGAGCCCGTTCCAAGTGCGAAAGTTTGCGGCCGACGAACTTTGCGAGCAACGGAATCTCAAGGGCACCGTCGCATTGGCCGCCATTCGCGAATTGTGGAAGACCCCCAACGAACAAGGAAAAAGAGGATCCAACGAGGCCTGTAGTTCTTGTGACGAACGGCGGCAGGCACAGCTGCCGGTGGTGAAGGACTACATCAAGCGGCGAGGACTTAAGGGACCTGCCGTTCTTGGATCGAGCGCCAAGTCCAAAGCGGCGCCAGCTGTGAGCCTGACACCTGGGCCGAAAGTGAAGGCCAAATCAAAGGCCGGACCAAAAGGAAAGGCCAAACCATCCGCCGCGCCAAAAGTAGCGGCTGAAGCGAAGGCCACAACTGTGGGTCGTCGCCCGGAAGAACTCACACGGACTACTGTTGAAGTCCGTGGAGTGCCAAAACCTTCCGATCCTTGACCGGGCGAACCGCCCGCGACTGCCGCTGGAAAAGGAGTGAGCGGCAGCAGCAGCAGGGGTTGAGGGCAGGAAACCATGGAACAACAGATCCAACAATTGAGTGAAATGGTACTTCAACTCCAACAGAACCAAGCGAGGTTGGAGCAGGAGAATCAAGTGTTGAGGGAGTCTCAAGGTGGGGTATCAATGCTAGCCTCAGCTGTAGGAGAATTGGCTAAAAGCCTTGAGAGGAAAGATGATAGGAAGAAGTCCCAAATCCTCATGGACACCAAAGGGTTAGGATGCCCCGAGAGTTTTGGGAATGTTGAAGGGGATTTTCGAAAATGGGCCAGGAGCATTGATAACCTGTTCATAACTACTTTTGGGAGAGAGTTCATTGAAGTCCTAGAGTATATTTTGGAGCAGGAAGACGCGATCGAATTGAGTGCTATGGAGTCCGCATTTGGGGCTGGAACCATAGCAGCCATCGATGATTTGGAGGATAAAGCTGATCAAATTCATCGCGCGCTCCTGACCCTGACCTCGGGTGAAACAGAGGATTTGATGGTAGGAGCTTCAAATGGGTTTGAAGCATATCGGCGAGTTCACCGCCGTTGGGATCCCCGAACCTCGGGACGGAAACGCAATATCCTTCGAGCGATTCTCCAACCGGAGAGAGTCAAGACATGGGCCGCGGTGAGGCCAGCGATCGAACAGCTCGAAGAGCTCATCAGGCGGTACGAGTCTCGGAGGAGTGCCGCAGGGACTAGGGAAACCCTATCGGACGACATCAAGTCCGCTTCGTTGGAGATGCTGGTACCCCCAGATTTGGAGAAACATCTTTTGTTGAACAAGAGTAGATTGACAACCTATTCGTTGATCAAGCAAGAGATTGAACTTGTCATTGAAACATCCCTCACATCAAAGTCATCTGTTCCAAAACCAGGTTCATCAAGTTCAAGTTACCAAGGACCTCAACCCATGGACGTCGATTCGATCGGACAATGGATCGCAAGCCTGGTCAAAGGAAAAGGTAAAGGAAAAGGTAAACAGGCCAAAGGTGATGGAAAGAAAGGCTCAAGCAAAGGGGGTTCAAGTAAAGGCTCAAACCCGGCTCAAGATATTACCTGCTACAATTGCGGTAAGAAAGGACACCGAGCGGCCGATTGCTGGAGCAAGAAACGGCCGGATGGAAAAGGCGATAAGTGGTCAGGTTCAGGCAAAGGAGACAAGAGTGGTAAAGGTGGCAAAGGCAACAAAGGCAAAGGTGGAAAGGGCGGCAAAGGTAAAGCCGCAGGAAGTATGGAAGAGATGGACGAACCGGATGATGGCATTGAGCCAGCTCCGGAAGCCGATGTCGGCATGCTCATGGCAGACTTGAGTGGAATTGGAATGGCGGACACCTCATCCGCCGAAGAATGGATGAAGTTTAACCTGGACACTGGAGCAGCCCAGACAGCCATCCCGAATGGCTGGGAGGACCGAGTGGTTGTCAGTGAAGGCAACGGAGTTGTATTCAAGACTGCGTCCGGAGAGTTGGTGCCCAGTCAGGGCATTGGAACCTTTGAAGGGTTCGACGAGAGCGGCAACAGATGCCGTGTGAAAGGGTCAATGGCCGATGTTCACAAGCCATTGATTTCAGCATCCAAGTGCTTAGGCTTTGGAAGGATTGCAGTCCTTGATGCAAATGGCGGAAACTTGATACCGCAAGGGTCCAAAGTTGGAAAGGCTGTCCAGGCGGTCCTGGAGAAAGCGAACGTGCAGAGCAGCGGAGTTGGATCCCTGTGTATCAGGAGCAGGGAGTGTACAACTTCTACTTGAGAAAGCCAGGGTATAAACCGACAAAGGAATGCTGTGGCATTGCAGAGTTGAACGCCACAGGAGAAGGAGGAGATGCCTCTATGGATTCAGGCCGACCTGGTCCAGAGGGGCGAGAAGAGGATGATGAGTTGGAGTTAGTTGATGAGGTTGAGAAACCCGTCCAGATAAGAGCGCCGGAGGATCCAACCCCGGCTGAGATCGAAGAGCGCGAGGCGACAGGCCATGTGCAGTATCGAAGTTGGTGCCGGCATTGCATTGCTGGACGGGCTGTGGGGCAGCCACATCGGACGAGGTCCGAGGAAGAGAAGGCTAAGAGCCTTGTGCCCACAGTGGCAATGGACTACACGTTCATGTCACGGGGCGGTGTGGAGGACGAGCGAGTGAAGCCAATCCTCGTAATAAAGGATGAGAGGACACAGTCCTTAGCGGCGACCTTCGTGGACTCGAAGGGAGCGACGCCGTATGCAGTGAAGTTCGCCACGAACTTCCTGAAGAACTTGGGACACCGCAAGGTGGTCCTCAAGTCAGATGGTGAGCCATCAGTGGTAGCCTTGAAAGAGGCAGCGGCGAAAGAAACCGGCATAGACTGGGTTTCGGAAGAGTCGCCAGTAGGAGACCATCAAGCAAATGGTCTGGCAGAGAACGCCTGCAAGGAGGTCAAACGTCAAGTACGAGTCCTCCGCAGCGCATTGGAAGAGAAGCTCGGCAAAGAGCTCAAAGATGATGATCCTGCATTGGCATGGCTGCCAAGACAGGCAGGAGACCTGTTGAGCAGGTACAAGAAAGGTCAAGATGGCAGAACGCCTGAGGCCAGAAGATGTGGAAAGCAATGGCGGAAACCTGCCATAGCTTTTGGCGAACGCCTATACTTTAGAGAAGTGGGCGAGGGAGTTCGCATCCTGAAAGAAGGACGCTATGTAGGACACCATGGCCGAACAGGATCCATTTTGGTGATGACGGCCGATGGCGTGCGAAGAGGCACAGGAATCCGGCGGCTGAGTTCAGCCGACCGCTGGGACCCAAGTGATTGGGACCTTTTGCGGGGCTTACCGTGGGAACATTCCGCGGCAAGGCCTGCCGGCGAGCAGCTGATGCTCGAAGAGCGCCTTGTGGTACCACCTCCCAAGGAGGAACGAGTGGCGCCACCGCAGCAGAGGCGAGTGTACATCAGGAGAGAGGATGTGCACAAGCATGGAGCCACAGAAGGCTGCCCAGGATGCAAGTGCATCTTGGAAGATAGGAGGACGACCTTGCCGCACACAGAGGCGTGCAGAGCAAGGATCACCGAAGCAATGGAAAAGGATGAAGTTGGGCAAGCGAGACTTGAAGCCCATGCAAAGAAGAGGAAAGAACGGCAACAACTTGACACTGTGAAGCCGAAAGTCGTGGCCGACAAGGACTCCGACATCCCAGCCGAAGACGCGGCTGGGGAACCAGAGAAGAAGGAAGAAGCAAAGAGCGCAGGGTCGGGAAGCTCACCGCCAGCAGCAGCAGAGGGTGAGAAAACCTATCCCGATGACCCGAAAGAGAGATATGAGATGAAGAGGCAAGCAGCCGAGATAGAGAAGAAGCCAGTGGCAAAAGCCAAGGTAGCAACAGAGCCCAAGAAGAGGATAGGAGAACTTCGGATAGATCCACCTGGGGCAAAGGTCAAGCCGAATCCAGTTCAAGGAACAAAGAGGTCCGCAGAGACCGCCGTAGAAGACCTTGATCCCAGAGTGGAAGAGAGTCCAAAGAAAACGTCTCAGTTTTCACATGTTCCAGAAACACCACCAGCAGGGTGGAGGCCAGATGCAGCCAGCTTAGTAAAAGAGAAGGAGATCGCAAAGCAGCGTCTGAAGAAGATCATTCAAGGGACCTATGAGGCGAGCGGCATTGAGATCTCTGAGCAAGAGATCGGAGACATCGCTCACTTGAGCATGCAGATGTCAGCAGTAGATATCATGGAGATCTACTCGCCCAAGAGGTTCACTGCGCTTGCAGAGCGCTACAAGTTGCGACCGGGTTTTGCGGTCGACTTGAATGAAATGAAAAGTGATGGAACATACTGGGACTTGAACAAGCCTGAAGATGTTCAAGAGGTGCACGACATCCTTGAGAAGGACGAACCAGCACTTTTGACTGGTTCGCCACCGTGCCATATGTTCTCCCAGCTCCAGAACCTTAACTGGAGAAGCATGGCACCGGATGTCCGGAGGAGAAAGATGGACGAAGCCGTCCACCATCTCCATACGAGCGTAGAGCTGTAAGTCAAGCAGCATCGCTCAGGGAGAAAATTCCTCCACGAGGCACCTTGGTCCGCGACTAGTTGGAAGGACGAGAAAGTTGCGGCCTTAGCAGAGGAAGATGGAGTGTTCATAGTGAAGGGTCCAATGTGCAGGTGGCAAATGATGGCCACCGACCGAAGAGGACTCCAAGGCACCGGCTATGTGAGAAAGGAGACCGGTTGGATGACCAACGATGAAGGGTTGGCCAGAGTCTTGCAAGGAGTCTGCTCGAATGAATCGGGCAAAGGACCATGGCACCGACACACCCATCTGATCGGAGGCATTGCAAGGCAAGCAGCGGTATACCCACCGCCGCTCGTTAAGGCAGTGCTGAGGAGCCTGCGTGACACACTAGCTGAGAAAGGTGAGTTGAACACCTTTGATTTGTTTGCAGCAGGCCCAGTTCCAGAGATGCCTCTGATGGAACCTGAGTTCGAAGAAGTTTATATGGATGATGCGAACGGCGGCATTTTGCCAGCCGAGAAAGTGAGAGAGGCAAGACGCCTTGAAATGAATTATTTGAAAGAAAAGCATGGTGTTTATGTGACCCGGCCGAGAGCCGAATGTTTTGAGGAAACGGGGAAACCTCCGATTCCAGTCAGATGGTTGGACACCAACAAGGGAGATCCAACAAACCCGAACTATAGGAGCCGATTAGTTGTGCGTGAGATAAAGGCAAGAAAGACCAAAGAAGAACAATTGCCAGCCAACTTGCTTTTCAGCAGCACGCCCCCATTGGAGGCGATGAGACTGCTATGCTCGTTGTGGGCAACAAAGAGAAAGTCCTGCCACAACCAGCCGTTGAAGCTGGGCTTGTGGGACATCTCACGAGCACACTTTTATGGAACTCCAAAGAGAAAGATCTACATAGAGCTGCCACCTGAGGACGAAGCCAGCAAAGATGGACAAACCTGTGGACTTCTCGTGAAGTCGATGTATGGAACGCAGGATGCTCCAAATATCTGGCAGACGCACTACACAGAGACTCTGCAGAAAGCTGGTTTCCGCAGAGGCTTGTCAAATGCGTCAGTCTTCTACCAAGAAGCTTGGGACGTCAGAGTGATGGTGCATGGAGATGACTTCCTAGCACTTGGAGACGCCCAACATTTGGAGAAGCTCAGCCAAGTCCTCAAAGATGCCTATGAGCTGAAATGTCTCGGAATTCTTGGAGACGAGGATGGAGACCGAACAGAAGCTCATTTTCTTAATCGGTTAATCCGAGTCGAGAAGAAGAACGGCAAAGGATCAATTGTGATCGAAGCCGATCGGAGACACGTTGATCTTTTGATCCAGACATTTGGTCTGGAGAAGGCAAATGGTGTAGAATCACCAGATGTCAAGAAGTCGGCAGATCAGCAGATGCTGGAAAGCCGCAGTCCGCTGCTTGATAAGAGCGAGGCATCGAAGTATCGTTCAGCAACGATGCGTGCTGCGTACTTGTCCCAAGATCGACTTGATATTGGGCACGCAGTCAAGAACCTTGCTCGAGGTATGGTATCACCAACGGAAGCCAAACTTGCTGACTTGAAGCGTCTCATCAGGTACTTGAAGAAATACCCTGATGTTGGGCAATGTTTTGGTTCGCAGCAGATACCCTCAAGGCTGAGGGTGCAGGTCGATGCCGACCATGGTGGTGACGCTGTGACGCGCAAAAGCACGACTGGCATGGTTGCTATGTACGGCATGCACGTGTTGAAACACAGTAGTAACATCCAATCCACTGTAGCCCTTTCTACAGGTGAGAGTGAATACTACGCACTTGTGAAAGGAGGATCTGTGGGCTTAGGCCTCCAAAGCCTATGCGCAGACCTTGGTTTGGATTTGGGAGTCACCATCGAGGGCGATTCCAATGCAGCCAAAGGAACTGTGAATAGAGTGGGTTTGGGTAAAGCCAGACACATCCAAACTCGCTACCTATGGTTGCAAGAAAGGGTCGCCGAAGGCCACTTGAAAGTGCACCACGTTCCAGGTCTCAAGAACAAAGCCGATGTTTTGACCAAATCGGTTCCTGGGGTGCAGCTTCGCAAAACCATGGAGGACCTGCAGTATGCATTCCTCAGCAAGCGAAGCAAAGGACAGTTAGATGTTTTGGAGTAAGGTCCCTGGCCAAGCTCCACTACCACAACTGAAAGTAGCTAAGCAGCGAGAGTTTCACATGTTTACTTTTTATGCTTGCGCAGCAGTACAGTGCTTTGCAAGAGGAGGAGTGTTTGTATGTACAGCCCATATATACTCCGCTATAGGTACTGCAGACACGTGACTCATGACGTGTTTTGGCTCAAGGGAAAAAGACGTTCCGTAACGTCGAAACCTCGTTTTCAGCGTATCAAATAGGCTCAGTCAGTGTGGTGGTAGGGCAGTTGCCAGAGCACCTCGTGGACATAGCTCGCTATTTGGCTGTGCAGGTGAAGCCCACGGCGTGTGCGGGACATTCACTCGGAGAGTGACCCCACTGCAGTAGAAACAACAGTTGGGAGTCGTCAGCGTCTCTCTTTCTCTCAGACATGATGTGCATATAATATACACAATTGTATACACTGTAAGTAAATACAAATAAATCAACATATATATATATACACATACATATTCTATATACTGTTATACTGTATATATGTTATATGTACTGTACACAAAAACTACTGCAAAGGCTTCTGCGGCTCATTTGAGCAATGGACCGATCGAATGTCTCGATCGATCGATCGAACGAAGCAACACCGATCGAGCTCGATCGTCGCTTCAGGTACGCCGCGGCCGTTGTTGGAGGATTCCTGACCCTTGAGGGGGCCTTGCAAATCGTAGCTACTCGCGCTAAGTGCGGCTACACAGTGAGCCTTGCTTTTCGTCATTTTTGCGCTTGGTTTTTTGGCCAATGTTGAACTTGAAAAGATTCTGTAATCTCCAATCTTTAGGGAAATGCTGCAGGTTGAGGTACTCTGCACTGCGAAGCTTTCATGCGTGTCCCTGTCAAACATGGCCGGGTAGTGTAGAATATTGTAGAATTATGAGGACTTTTGCCTTGCCCAGGTCCACAGAAACCTTGGCAGATGAAGGGGCAATGCTGTCGGTAGCAGATTGGCAACTTGCATGCCATTATGCTGCCGCATTTCATGCAAGAGGTGATGGTCGTAGGGCAGAACACATAAACAGGCGCTTTTGGGAGATGTCTTTGTGCAACACATGAAGCAACATCACTGTGCTTTACGGCGGTTTGTGGCCAAAACATCACCAAAACTATTGAATGTTGTTCAGACCAGGCCTACAAGATTTAGAGAGAACACCTATCCAAAGACACAACATTAACATACCAAAAAACTGCAGGAAAGAACAACATGCAAAAACACAAATACACATACAAACCAAAACAAAAAAATAAACAATGTTTGAGATAAAAAGAGGACAGCACCAAAAGAACAAAATCATCCAAATCCAAATCCTATAGTAGCTTCTTTTGGGGTGAAACAGTTTTTGCATTTCCCACCTGTCAGATGAGGGTTGTTAGATTTTATATTTTAAATGTGAGCTACTCCGCGTCCACTCCGCGCTCTCCTCCGCGTCCTCCTCCGCGTCCTCCTCGCCTCCTCTACCGCCAGCTCCCGACGGCAGTGTTACCTCCAGCCCCGAACGGCAGTGTTACCCGCCAGACCTCAACTGCCAGCCCCCAACGGCAGTGTTACCCGCCGGGCCTCAACTGCCAGCCCTCGACGGCAGTGCTACCCGCTGGACCTCAACTGCCAGCCACACGGCAGTGTTCCCCGCCGCACCTCAACCACCAGCCCCCGACGGCAGTGTTACCCGCCGGACCTCAACCGTGAGTCAGAAGAGAACGCCAGAAAGAATGTCAGAAAGAAAGTCAGAAGATATGCCAGAAAGAATGTCAGAAGATTTACCAGACAGAATGTCAGAAAGAAAGTCAGAAGATATGCAGAGGATATGCCAGATAGAATGTCGGAAATAAAGTCAGAAGATATGCCAGAAAGAATGTCAGAAGATATGCCAGAAAGATTGTCAAAACAATGTTTCATCAATACATGCCGAGCAATTTGTCAGATTGAAATGTCACTCGAAGTGAAGTAACTCGTTGTTGTTGCTATTTTGGTAGTTCCATCATTGGGTCTACATTTCGCACATCAGACATTCTTGGTAATCATAAATGCTCTTTTCCTGACACGGTTTCATACTTAACGGTTCTACTCGACGGCTTCTTGCCGAGTACTAGAGCCTACGAAGAACGGAACTAGTGTGTGCTCTGCCAGGCACACCCGCTCTGTTTATTAATCTTTTGATATTGCTTCTTGCTGCTGCAAAGACATGTGCTACGTGTTAGTGTTTCTTGCATCAATGTTGTTTGTGAAAGTTGTAGTTCAGTATGTCTTGGGGCAGTGCGTGATGATTTGTCGTTGATTGCATGGGCGTATTTGTGGGTGCACCATGGATGGAAGGACCGTATACACACAGCGTATATTTAGTTTTTTATGTTCCTGCATGGGAGTACTTGTGGATGTGTTGTTACGAATGAAGAGCTGCATTAAACGTTTTCTCGGAAGACGTTCATTTCAACTTCAAGGACTTCTGAACAGCTGGAAGAGGTCGCAAACCAGCAGCGGCCGGGACTTTGGCTTGCAGCAGCAACTTGGCTTGTTCTAAACGAGTGAATGCCACTCGTTTGAGGTCGCGACTCTGATAATAGGACTCCGTTAGACAATTCAACTCACAGACCACACTGATTTGAGTTATTAACAGTTACTAACATTCATCAATTCACATTCAAGTGTGCTATTGACAATGCCCATGTCTATCTTGCCGTCTGTCTGTCTATCCATCCATCCTCGGAAGGTTGCCCAAGAAGCGGACAAGGCTGCCAGGTTTGGCAACGAATGTGTCCACTAGGAATGCTCCTCACAAACCACACTGAACATATTGTGCAGTCGCAGGAGCCCCTAGTAGCGTCCTTGTTCCTGGAAGCGATGCCCTTTGCTCCTAGTAGCTTCTTGCTCCTAGTAGTAAGGCCAGGAGCCCCTAGCAGCGTCCTTGCTCCTATGCCATTGTTAGATGCTAACAGTACATGTTGGAGGTTTGTACGCGTTTCTTTTGTGCATCATGCTCGCGATTTGCCTCTTGTTTTATCGGATTGTTTCTGGTCACATAGTGCACGCGACTCAGGTGAACTCTCCGCAACATTCGGTCATCTCGGGAGAGGTGGGAGTCTGTTAGGACAGCAAATGCAGATGCAGAATGTGGGAGCCAAGCACAAACGACGCCCAAGCAGTTACTATGGCAGTTTGACCAACTGGGATCGACACAACACGTCAAAACACGTCAATGTTGCATTAAAGCTTGAGTTTGGATCAAATACTGGTATCCTTGTTCCACAAGTTTGTCCAAGTTGAGCAAACTCCAACGACGGTGCCAGGAGATCAACCCAGGTATGTTGGATTACAGTATATTCGTTTGAACATAGAAGTCTTGGCCAGGTCGGTGCCATTGAGGCTCTTGAGAAGGAGTTGAAAGCAGCAGGGTATCTCTGGCAAGTTGTGACTTTTCATGCACGGATGCCAGCCAGGTTGAGGGAACAGGTCTTGATGGACAGACCACATAATCAAGCTCTTGGCATCAACCTGTGCTTGCCGCCCTCGTCCCCTCCCACACCTCATTTCAAGGTTACGTGGCAGTCAGCGCTTGTGATGGCCTTGGTTTGATAAACAAATCGTCCACTAAAGCAAGTCCCCAGGGGAAAACAATTCATCCGCCAATGGTAGAACTTCCTCAGCATTCAGTTGATCCGGGATTGTTTGTTTCAATGCGACTCTCTTGGCGCCTTTTTGGCCGTTTTTTGATCAAGCTGATTTTTGTGCGGGATCAATGCCATTGAGAACTCCTGATGAAGATACACCTTTCTTCAGTATCAGGTGAAGCAGCCATTGTGGAGGTTGAGCATGGAAGGACATTCTAGAAGCGAAAATGCTGTCTGTGCAACAAATACATGTCTCAGTGTATGATCAGTAGTTGAACCTTGCTCCCGGAATGCCTCCTGCAAGTAAACAATGATCAACTCGGATTTCATGGCCTCAATATTGGTTTTCAATGTAGATCCATAGGATGCTATCAAGCGGTTAAGCATTGAAGCTGGAAGGATCTCTGAGCTGACCGAAAAGGTCTTTGAGCACTTTCTGAGCTCAGAGACTGATGGCTTGGCTCACTTTGTCTTGCGCTTCTTGCGTGCTGGCTCAGTGCTAGATGACACGGAGCAACTGGACGATGGGGATGAGGTGACCTTCTTGCGACAGGCCCAGGGGGGCGAGCCTCCAAGTGGGCTTGCAGTGCGCCTTAAAGGATCTTGAAGGTGTAAGTCATGGGATGCCTTATAGTAGCGATGGCCTCCAACCTAATAAATTAATAGCGATGGCCTCCAACCTATCAGGAAGTGATAAAGATGCCACAAAGGGCAGACTTTCATCAGTTGGTACCCCACATGAGCAAGAGTTGCCCCATGCGAGGAGTTGCCCCACGTGCGTTTCATTGAGGGTCAGGAGCACTGGACTGAAGAAATTGCTCCACAGCTGGAAGAGCAAGAGGTTGCTGCCCTTATTACCACGCGTGCGTGTGGTCCAGCAGATCGAGTCACACGACAATGTGTGAAGTGTGCTCATGACTACAAGATCCATTTCTGTCGATCTCCCGATGTATCAACGGCGCTCTGGCATTTGCTTCAAGAGCTGTGCTTTTCCTTGGTTAAGAATTACTAAGATGGAGCGACCTGTGATGTCCTGTGACCAACCAGTCTTCCAAGGCAGAGCGTACGGTTGAAGTACAAAAGGAGTACATCGCCATCATTCACCGAAAGACTGGGGGCGAGTCTCCAGAGCCTGGCGTTCAGATTGACTCAGGAGTATCCTTTGAGATGCAAGAAGGAAAAGCTTCTGAACAGAAGTCTATGCTATTTCTGTTTTCACTCAAGATCTTCAGCACGGGGTGCTGTTCCACGATTTGCCAATCAACTTGTTGAGCTTCCTTGAGTCAGCCAGCGATTTCTTGAGGTTCTTTGCAGACTACTGTTTGAAGGAGGATTTCCAAATGGCGGTGAATGCTGGGCTGATATTCACGCTCCATGGGGTACCTGCTTCACATCTATTCCACCACGCGGTTGTGCCTGGCTCAGCCTTTGTGTCTGTCTAGCATCGTCTCCATAGAACAAACAAGCAGCACAATTCAAGCTACCGGGTGGATTTCTGGTCTTGCAGACTCACTGAGGCTTGATACTGGAAATCCCATGGGCATGACTTGGAGCTCATTTCGGAAAGTCTGGGTGGATAAGCCTCACAATGGAACGCAACACAGGTTCTCGTGCTTTTGCAGCTTCTCACCGAAGAAGTGCCCAAGAAGGTTACTGCCTACTGCCTCTTGGACCTGGCAAGTCATCGACTTTGACTTCATGCGGAACAGCATGATCTTCTAAAAACCCATATTTGACAGAGAATGGGCTTCTGCAAGACCACGCTTGCTTTGTGAGGAAAAGTCCGAGTCCTGAGGGTATATAGTATAAGCTGAGAAAGGCGGAACAGCAAGATCAGCAAGGTGTGCGTTCTTATACCAATGCTTTGCCAGGAAGAAATGCTCTCGATTGCACGTTAAGCGTGCCTTCCACTCTGGACTCATTGCGAAGGCGTTGATTGCACATATATATATATATATTATATGTATACTTTTATTATATGTATACTTTTTCTTCTTCTTATTATTTTTTTAAAATATATGTGTGAAGAAAAAGAAGAAGCGCTCTCTTCTACCTACACCTACTGATTGTATCTGACAATCAGCCCCGAGCGTGGAACCACGGGAAGCCAGCACCCCGAGCCTGGGAGGCTGCGCACACGTTGCACAAGCTAGGGGTGACCGAGGAATTGTCCGGGGCTCAGCCAGCTGGTTGGGAGTGGGTTGGAGGTGCCAAGGTAGGTAGCTAGGAGTGAGAAGATGTTGAATCGCTGAAGCTAGTAGCGACTTGCATGGTCGAAATGGTTGAATTCTTTCCATGGATATGGAGGGAGATTAACACGCAAGTGGCACGCAAGGCTTGCCGGGATATGCTTATATATATATATATCTTTGTACATATACACTGTATGAGTATGATACTGCTTTGTCCACCCTGATTCTTTGCCAGGCAAGGGATCGAGTTCACTCCAGTGGCAGCAAGCTCGGACAATCTCTCTTCCAGGTGATTTTGGTTTCATGTGTGCGCTTGTGTGTTTATTTTTGTAACTACTAGTATGTATGTGAGAAGAAGCATTCTTGCTTGCTTCATGTTTAATCATGATTGATCTCTATGCTGCACATTGCTTGCTGCGTGGACTCTACTAATATATATATATATATCCGAGTGATTTATTGATAGTGTTTTGGTCACTGACAAGAGCAGGGTCAACAAGCCGCAATTTTAGAATCTTCCATGAACCCTTTGGTTATGATCTTTCGATGTGGTGCACTTTTCAATTTCAGGCTTCTAACCTCACGGGACAGTGGCTTCTCCCTGCTCAGATGAAGGCCACCGTGGGAGAAAGTGTTCTTGTGCTTTGTTGACATCCAAGAGCATGACACAGTTTTTTCAGTTTGGAGAATGGACTACAGTAGGGGTGGCCACACAGGTTTTACAGTGAATTCTTTTGTGCAGCCTGTGGAGCATGATGCTGGTCTTGCTTCATGCAGTAGGTCTTCTCCCCACTCCACATTTGATGCGCCCTCCCAATTCTAGTATATATGCCAATGGTGCAATGTTGGATAGCTATGTGCGAAGCATGCAGAAAGACCTTTGGGCAAGAGGCACACTGTATCATTTTCTCCACAACCAGGAGGGACAATGGAACAGTATGTTGGGAGCTCTCCTCTTGGGTTTAGGAGGCTTTGTATCTGAAATGGACTTCAGGTCGGTCCTTATTGCTTCACTGTGCTGATTTTGCAGGATGGACAATACTGGACGAAGCACATGAGGGGTACAGCAGCAAGCTCATTTTGTTTTGTCCAAATGGACGCAGACCAACCCATGACTTGTCTCTTGCAGCAACAGCGCATTGTCAAAAGGTTTTCAGGCTGTTCAGTGCAACCACACTGCGGCTGTGTCAAAACATGTAGGATACCTCAATTTTGGTACGTCAGAAGTGTGCTTGTATCAGTGCAAGCACTTTTTTCCATTGAGGAAAAGCATGGCCACAGCAATTCAACTAACCAGAACCAATGGTAACCAGTCTACGGCTTGGTTGCCTCAGGTGCTTTGGAGGGAGAACGCGGAAAGGCTGATCTCTCAGTGGAGGCCAAGCATCATCCTTGAGGCCAAGTTGGGGCATAGACACGACATCATTCGGTCGGTCGCCTCACTGAATCTGAATTCTACGGCTATATATATATATATCACTTGTACTTTCAATTAGTGCCCGTTTGCAGCATTTTAGCCATCCCCCTATATATAAATTCCTCCCTCCGCAGCAGGGGCAGTTGTTATTGCATTGCCGACTCTGCCCTGGAAGTAGAAGTTTGAAGCAAAAATTGAAGACATGTCATCTTCATCGTTGCTGCGAATATGAAGAGTAGGAGCTGGAGTAGGAGTAGGACAACGAAGTAGCAGTGGTAATTAAAGGAGTGGTGGTAATGGTAATGGTAGCGGAGGTACTAGTGGTAGTGGTAGTGGTAGCACCAGCAGGAGGAGGAGTAGTAGTAGTAGTAGTAGCAGCAGTAGCAGCAGCAAGGAGTGGGAGTAGGACCTAGGAGTGGGAGTGGGAGTGGGAGTGGTAGTGGTAGTCGTAGTCGTAGTGGTAGTGGTAGTGGTCGTGGTGGAGGTGGTGGTGGTGGAGGTGGAGGTGGAGGTGGAGGTGGAGGTGGTGGTGGTGGTGGCGGTGGCGGTGGCGGTGGCGGTGGCGGTGGCGGTGGCGGTGGCGGTGGTGGTGGTGGTGGTGGTAGTGGTAGTGGTAGGAGTAGTAGGAGTAGGAGTGAGTAGTAGGAGTAGAGTAGGAGTCGAGTAGGAGCGAGTAGGAGGATTAGGGAGTTAGGAGTGGCAGTAGCAGTAGTTGTGGTTGTCGTGGTCGTTGTTGTTGATGTTTGTTGTTGTTCGTTTTTTTTGTTTGTTTGTTTGTTTGCTTGCTTGCTGGGTGGTTGGTTGGTTGGTTGGTTGGTGGGTGGGTGGGTGGGTGGGTGGGTTGGTTGGTTGGTTGGTTGGTGCTGCTGCGGCATTTTGGGTCACAGTTGCCAGTTGCAGTGACCCTTTGAAGTTGCCAGAGATTTGTTTCTATTCACGCAGCTGGAGCACGTGCTCAACAACCAGCTCGTCGGTTGGAACGGCAGTTACTGCAGGTGTATACATGTCTCATGCAAGAAGGATTGCCTCGTGTCATAGTGCTCACGATGCGTACTAACAACTCAAGCATTTTCAGCACAGCCAAGTATCCCGTGCTTGGTTTGATTGTTGAGGCTGTTGATGTGGGGGTAGAGGAAGCCGGATATTGTAGATGAGGGTGCAAGACTGTTGCCGCCAACAAGACAACCCACAGAAAGCTTAAATGATAAGTAATCACGATAACTATGCAAGGACGCTACTAGGAGCAAGGACGCTACTAGGGGCTTCTTAGGTTTGGATACTTTTTGCCTCATTTGCGTTTTGCGTGCGCGGCCTCTGAGAGTAGAATATCTTTAAAAACGTGAGCCCACGGGCTGCTACTGCTTCAAGTTTTTCCACTGCAACCTGTTCTTGCTTGTATCGAGAGATGCTCTTTCTACATTCTACATCTTTCTACACAAGTCAGCCGTTCTGCGTTCAGGTTGGTCCTGGCAATGTTCTGAGCACCCTGACTTCAAAATGTGTGTGGGTCTTGGTGGGATTCCTGCGTTGTTGCCAGTTCTGCTATCTTTTGATTGGACAACAACAAATAGCAAGACAAGCACACTCACCTCCAAACATTGTCCTCCACATGGCTTTCAAGTTTTGCCATCGTTTAAATTCAATCTTCAGCTATGCATCCCTTTCATTCTTTGGTGGGTTTCTACAAAAAGACATGCATCCGAGGTGCAAGCACAGGGCCACAAGCCGGATTTCCTCCAGTGCATGCGGCATCCAAAGGCGTTTCACACTTAGTGAGCTCGTGCTCTGTGGTGCATGAGACTGTCAAGGTACCGGCACGGGCGGTGGCACGGGTTGCTCTAGTGGCTGAGCCATGCGGAATTCTAAGGCTAAAGACCCATGATGTCGAGGCTGGACGCCTCGGGCCCTTGTCGTTGTTGTTTTTGGTTTTAAACAAATGAATATACTGCATACAGACAGCAACATGTTGGGTTTTGCTGACTACAGATTTGCTCCTTTAATCTGTGGCAGTGGACATTTGTGAGTGATTTCGGAGAAGGCTCCAAAGAAGATCAAGAATCAACACCCGGAACAGCCTTGACATTCTATGGGTGTGAGATTCGTCTTTTTCACAGGCTTTCTTTGGTGCTTTGGGCAAGCTATGGGAGGCCTGGAGTGAGATGCAGGGTCTCGTCTCTTTTGAAAGACCTTCACACAGTTTTACGCAATGGCTTTCTTTGCTCCAAGCAATCTCATAAGGGATCAAAGCAATTTGAAACGAGAAACAGGAGATTGCAAGTACATTCTATTGAACTCTGATTAGCTGGTTCAGACAGATGTGAAGTTGCAGTGTTGGGAGGCTGGTGTCAATGTCAACTGGGACACGCTCACCACAAAAGTGCTGGGAGCAACGCATCTTCCTCCTCTCACCCGACTCCCTGCACTGGGGCTCAGTTTATAGGACGCACAGGAGCTTAAGCACTCAAGCACTCAAGCACAGCATCAAACCAGGACAGAGCTGACCAACTTGTATCCCGTTCTCAATTTATGTAACCTCGGTCATGCTGCACCAACTGAGAGTTTGCTTAGGTGAATAGCGTGGTACATTTAGAACTTTAGAGAGTCTCTCTGGAACATGGCTTTGCTCAGTCGAGGCAATTGTCGATTGTGGCCAACCAGCTGTAATGAACTTATTAAACTCTCACACCCCAGTAGCATTCAGATGAATGCAAGGGTAGTTTTCTTATGGGCTAACTGACGTGGTGGCAACAAACAACAGCTGGTGACTTCCGAAAGTCTCGCCCAGGTTACTGAAGAAGTGACAGCAATTTTGTTGCAGACATGCATTCATTCATCTTCATTAGCGGCAGCGCCACTTCACCATGGTGGTACTAGAAACAACCGATAGCGAAAGCGTGATAGCTTGCCACTGAGGGTCTTTCCAAGTTGGGCAGAGAAGAGAAGATCCAGGAACAACGCACGCAGACGATGTGTTTCTTACGCGTTCTTATCTATTGGACCTGTCTATGCAACATTTTTTTCGACATGGAGCTATCCAAGGCCTATTCCTTCGAACCGACGAGCTTGTGGGTGAATCCAGAGCGTTCTGTGTACGTTGATGCCACGGAGGTGCGGGACACCCGAGAAACGTGAAGCGCAGAAACGGTGTTGCCATGATGCAGATTGATTTTGGTATCACCCGATAGCACTGATTCTGACTCTTTCTGGCATATTTTGGCAGCAAGGGCAGACATCACCTGCATTTACCCGCGTACTGCAGCGCACAATACAGACTGAGCATTGCAGGGATTTGTCCCTGCTCTATATAATATTTGGGAGAGGTTCATGGCAGCAGAATACAGGTGATTTAATGAGAGCAAATTGCCAGGACCCAGCTCCTGCTGCCTATATCGCTCAGGCACCAAGAGCTCTGCTTCAAACACGCGTGGCAAGGATCACTACAGTAGTTGTTTTGCGTGGTTCTTGGTTCGTCTAAAGGTCCTAGACTTGCGGAACCCTCGTTTTGGTGCTTAGAACGTGCTTGATCCGCAGGCTGCATCTGCATCGTCTGGAAGGTCCGGAAGTCGCGTCGGAAGGCTCAGATGGCGTCGACCGGAAAAGATTGCCGTACCAGCACCATGACATACCTCTTAAGCTTCCTCAATTTGTGCGGGGCAAAGCAGTTCTTGCAGTAAGTGTGCAATGTAGCGCTCTGGAACCAGCGTAGATATGCTGACGACTTTGCCCGTAGCTTCTTGGGTTGCCCCGTCACCTAACCTAGCACTCCCTTCACCCCTTAGTTCCCAACCCAAACTGGTTGTGGGGCCGAATCACGGCAAACGGAGACGAATCTGCGCGATGCTGCGCATGGATTCGAGTTCTCGGTTGTCAGTGAAGCCTCGGTTTTGGCAACTTTGAGGCGCTAGCGTACTGACAAGTGGTGATCTATATACATATATACATATATACATTATATATATATGTTTATATGCGCAGAGATGTATAGAAGCATATGTATGATATAAAGATTCATTGCGCAATCATATTCAGAATCAGCCCTCTTTGGCAGGAAATATGCTTTGTCCAAAACCCACTTTGCTTCAGTGATCTTCGATCTACGCCTGCACGCCTTGAGGTTTTGGTGCGCTATGGAGAGGAGCTAGACACCGAGCCAGCTCTGCGGGTGCGATGGGCAGCGAACCTTTTGCAGTAGAACTCCAAAACTCTGCTTCCAGTTCTTTACAAACCATATCCAGCATGTAGTATGTGTTCGGTGCTTGCGAAACATATTGATTCAAACTTCCTAGATTGGAATAGATTCATGGTAGCAGTGCATCGAGTGCAGTCTTTGATGTCAATGTCCTCTTCGGGTGATTTAATTGTGCTGCAGCTGAATGGACATTCAAGAGGAAAGAACTACTTGTTGGGTAAGCTTTCAAACATGATCCAACACAGCCTTGTCAACTCTTAAAGTCTCGGGCCTGCTTATTCAGGTTTGTTTGTTTCATTATTTCATTTTCTGATGACGTTTTCCCTTGGAGGCCTACTGCTTACCGTTTGCCAGTGGCTCCTCGTTGGTCTTCGCTCCATGGGCTTCGGACGAGGCAGTGGAGATTGTGGCTGTCGCGCGGTCCTGAGCCCGGTCCAAGAGTGGAAGTAGAAGAAGAAGAAGCACAGCTAAAATATACCCAGAATATCACAGAATGCTCAGAATATATTCCGAAAGATTCAGAGAGCACAAGGAAAAGGAGTCAAACAAATTCATGCGGGATTCAGTTTTGCCGGCTGGTTCTGCTATCGGAACTTGAGAGAACTTAAAAGGCAAACAAGGATGAACCACTATGGGCCATGGGCCTCTTGATAACGGGGGTTATGAAGGTAAAACACTTGCCATTCTCAATGGTCCAGACGCCGATACAAAAGGCTGTGGAGTGTCACTGCCACGGAATCCGTCGTCTCACCTTCCAGCTGTCGAGTCTCAACTCGTATCCAGCCTTCGTGCACGTTCGGGTCATCTTGGCTGAGCCGTGCAGAGGAATTGCCCGGTCGAGGAGCTCGTGCTGAAGAGGTTGTGGGATCCGCGAGCGGTTCGGGAGATAGCCATCATTTACTCAGGTTTCATAGTGACCACCTAATATCGTGCATAGCGCGCTTGTCGGTGTTTCCATTTCAGTGAGTTGTTGGAGTTTGGGTGAGTTGTATGTTGTAGATCTTGCCAGGTCATGCCTGCAGATGATTCTGGAGACAGCGCAATGTTGGAGGTGGATGCTTTGGGTGTCAACGAGAGAAGGGTGATGAAGGGAGTGAATGTGTATGAACCACTTGATAGGCACTCCTCTTGACGCTTATTGTATCCATTGGCAGGCCTTGATCAATGAGATCTTGGCCGATTTGCGTGGCTGCCCCTATGTTGCGAACCAAGATATTTTTCTGCTTTACGTGTCAATAGCCCAGTTCCGATTCATTGAGTCACATCTAATTATTCACTCATTTCGCCATCTGCACCTTATATACATTGACATTGTGCTGCTTCCCTTCTATCAGAAAACAATCACCTGAAGTGCTTGCAGGTTCCTTTTCAAGACTTTTTCACTCCAATCCTGAAGACTCGCGGCTTGCTTGCCGGGGAGAAGTGGGTGATTCGGACAGGTGAGACAAGGATCCTTGCCCTTTTCCATACATCTATAAGATGCACAATCGTTTTTCCAAGTTGTCCTCGCACTGTTTGTCTTGTGAGGTCCTTGTTGGATTCTCCATGGGTGGCGGCTTCGCAATGGAGTTGGCGTTGCGAATTGCTGCCGCTCAGTGTCGGAAACGCTCGAAAGGCACCTCCCTCACTGGCGGATTTCCAGAACACACCTACCCATCCCCCATCCCTACTTAGACTTGTTTCATCTTGGGAAAATGCCATTGCCAACACACAGCCTGTACCTGCGTGAATCGAATCGGCCCGCAGTCGATTGTTGAATTTGCAGTTTGCTAATTCTGCATCTTACGATTGCATATCCATCGACAATGACCACTAATACACCACTGACTATATATGCAATTATACATAATATTACATTATTTCATATCCACATCTCATGAGTTACTCTGCTCCTCTACATGTTCCCGTCTCTCGGAATAGTCTCTAGGGCTTGACCCTTGAACATCTTGAGATAGATGTTGCATAGAACTCATTGACGTTGTCCTTCAATCTCTGTGTCTTTTGCTGAGGACAGAGGATCTGCTCCGCTGCCTTTGGCTGTCAATGGCTCAGCATACAGTCATCCTGCGTTGGAGCAGTACCATTGATTCTGAGATTTGACAATTTTTGCAAACCCCTGCATTGGAAGTAGTTGAGCTTAGGTCTATGTTGCTGGACGAAAACCTCCGGCCAAAAAGCCTGATGATGTGCTCGGATCTTAGAAAGAGCAAGGATTTTGTCAGTCCTTTGTCACTTGCGCGGGAGACAGATAAGGCCTGTAATTGCAATGACCAATGCAGAGCTGGCAGCAATGGGCTTAGCTTCCGTTTTACAGAGCCATCACAAGTGCTTCCGCCTTTCCAAAGATTTCACGCAATAGAGCCCAAACTTTGGCTGTGCGCTTCAAATTGTCCTTTGCCAGAGTCACTTCGTCGCTTCAATGTTTTGCGCGTGCGAATGTCGATGTGTTTGTCTGAGGCTTATGCATTTGCTCCACCGGAGGCTGCAGCATCCCCTGAGTTCTTGGATCATGCCCGGCTCCTGCGCCAGAGACACACACGGAGTCAGCTGTCATATCAGAGCCTCCATACAAGCTGAATTGTCAAAGTCATATGAAAGGGAAGCAGCCGTCCCTAACGAAGAGACTTTGCAGCTTGAATTCTTGGGCTTGCAGAGACTGTATTTGATACTTTGGAAAGGCAAATTGGGAATTCGTTGGACTATGATTATGTCAATGACGTTCTTTGCTTATAACTTATGATCATTGTTGCATCCCTTCGGCCAAGGTTGTGCCTTTGTTGAGGTCTGATCTGGAGGCGGGACCTGTCAATCAGTGCAGTGCCATCGGGAATATTCTGCATGCGGACCGTCTGCGGACCGTCAGTGGGCATGGAGGCTGTGGGGGTGCGGCACTCTAAGAAAGCTGACCAAGCCTAGGCACACGCCAAGTCGGCTGATCTTTGGCAAATCGTTGCAAGCGCCCCATGACCTGATTTGCCAAAGCAACAGACCATGCCAAGCACATGCCACAGAGTGACATGCTAAGTCGGCAATGTCCCAGTGATGGTGGACTAAATGTGCAGCCAATAGGCCCGGCACTCTGTCAACACTCTCCAAAAGAAGGCCAAATCAAAAAAAAGGCGTATCCGAAAGAAACCAAAGTTCTTCCAAATGCGATGCACTCCATCCAAGGCTACCTCATGGCCCTTTGATCCACTGAGGGAACAGGTACATAGTGTTTTGAAACTACCAAAGAATGAAATTCCAGGAATTCCAGGAGGAATATCTTCATCAGTGGATTAGCAATCCTGTTTTAGAATCCCAAAGAGGAGAAGAGAAGTAAACACATTTAGCAAAACAGTGACCCAACACCAGGCGCCGCAACTTAGCGAGGTCAACAAGAAGATCGGCTATACTATACACCTTTTTTGCCCATTCAATGGCTTGTAGCCGAGCATGGCACAGCCGTTGGGCGCCGTTCATCGATTGAGCGAGCAACCCTCACTGCGAGCACCCCATCACTGGTATTTCTAAGCGACGTCAGACATCACGCAGGACATGTCCTAGAGGGTAGTGGACATGTCCACAGAACACAACCCGCACACGGCAAGTTGAATTATTGGTTTGGCATTGAACAGGCGCAAGAACGCATCTTCAATCGAACTAAGCAACGAAGAAGTAGCCTTGGTCGCATGGAGAACACACGTCCACAAGACATGCCAACCAAGAACATGTCCTGAATTCATTCATTGACATCGCTGCAACAAAAGTCCCTTGCGGCCATAGGGTATAGAGTATACAGTCATCAGCAGGAATTGAAAAAGCGTCTTGACCACCCATAGCCACGAAACAATATTTTATGTCAATGGACAAGCCGATGAATGATTGAAGAATCCCAAGTGAAAGACGGCAAGCAACTGTGGCAGTGAAATACACACACACACACCGGGGCGGCGCGGCGGAGGGTTTGAGCCGCCTAAAACCAAGCCGGTTCTCCGAAAAAGATCACCGGCACAGCCTTGTGAACTGGAAGATGCAAACTCATGCTTTAGAAGAACAGCCCATCCAAAGCTCACAGTGAGCGGACGCGATATGGACTGCAGTATTGGCCAAAAGAAAGCAGTTGTGGCAACGAAGGTTGAGCGAGTAGCATCGCAATGTCACAGACAACCTAATTCAGCTGTAACCTAATTCTGAGTCTGAGGGAGGGTACTGCATCATCATTCATGAATCAACTGGACCTGTGCAGTTCAGGCAAACTCGCCGGTAGATATTGGAGTGGAAAGTCTTCGTCCGGGTTGTTTGAAGCATTCCCTGAGCGCAACTAGTAACTAGTCAAACAGCATGAAACCGTCCAACTCAGGCCGATGCCCGTGCGGAGCGGCGGCTAAGCGCACGAGCGGGACAGCCCTCATTGCCTGGCAATGTGGGTGTGGAACTGCTTGCGCCTCAGTGGGAACTGCCTGCGCCACTTTAGACAAACAAAAAGAGAAACAAGGCCAGAAACAAAGCAAACAAATATGAACGCAGCACGACCCTTCAGAGGAACTGTCCATTGCTTGGCCCTGCCAGCCTTTCCATTCTTTTGCATCAGGTTCTGCGGTACCAGTGACACCGTAGCGCCGTGGACAGAGGCGCAGCTGCAGCTTAGGGCATAGAAGAGTTTGGCTTGTCAACCAGGCCAATGAGTTGGGAAGCTTTCAAGCAACAATTTCCTGTGCTACTGGGAACAGATTCTGGGAACAGATTCCTGGAACAAGCAGGCACTTCCTGTTTGGTCCAAGACAAACAGGTAAGCTTGGGATGTTATTCTACAGAGAAGATACAGTAGGTCGCACGTAGTGTTAGAGAGATGATATGAGATTATGGGGAGATGCTTTTATGAAAGGTGGGGTTGTCACCAATGTCACTCAGCACAAAACCCTCCAAATACGAAGCAATCCATTTTATAAGAGCATTCATCTTACCATCACAAACTTTTGGTTTTCTTTTTCACACGACGCTTTTGACACAAGCATGGAGATGGTTTGGTGGTTTGGTCATTTATGCAAGGCCGAGCTTTTCAAGAATTGCCGTGACACCGAGCTTTAAAGTTTCCTGCGCGGCCGACTGAACGACTGAACATGGCTCAAAACCTTTGGATGTTTTGAACGAATTGCAGATTACAACCACAGCCCTGAGGCCTATGGGCAGTTCCTCCTTGTATAAACAATTTGAACTGGTAACCACTGAAGGGGTTGGTTCTTTAGGTTTTGCTGCATAAATGGACTCCCCGGCTTTAAATTGAAGGGTGTTATCAAACATAGGAAAAAGTAAGGGAAATGCATTTTACAGAAGCAGGAGCCTCCCCAGGACCCAGCTGCCTGGGATGAGGGACTTGGTGCAGAGGATTGGCAACCACTGGGACAAGACTTGCAAGGGCTAAGTTCTGGCGGCTCAAGCACTTGTGGGCTGCACCACCAAGCAAACATTCCATAAGATGCAAGGGACCAAGACACATTCACAGAAAGTGTCTTGAACTTGCTGTTGCTTTTCTGCTTATATCATTGTTGGTGCAATTTTCTAAGAACTCTTTGTTGGACATCATTATATTGAAACTGAAACATTCTTTTTACAAAGGGTTTGGGAACAGAGGTTTCTAAGGTTTGGTTAGCTGGACAGTTCTTCTAATGTGTGGCACCAAGCACGAACTACTTGGTAGTCTTTTACACATATAAAGGGTTTGGCTTACAGAGGCTCAATGCTTGATGGGCGAAGGGACAGATTAATGTCAGGCTCCTGGCTGGCAGCGTTTAGTGGAGGCCACAATCGGCACGGCTCTCGGAATTCCAGCGTCAGATGGAACTGTTGAGAGCTGGAACAAGCGTTCAATACTTTCAGGCCCTGCTTGGAAATTAACATCTATGCCAACCAGTCTTCGTTGCTCATGCTTCGGACCACCTACAAAGTTTCCCGATGACTTGCGTGAACAATAAGAAATACGTGTGCTGTATTCTGAGCAGATTGTCAGTGAGCTCATGGAAAAGATCTGTAGTTGGTAGACAGGGGCAATGGCCACACGACTACTTCCTCAAGCAAGTTCAGCGACATCAACAGCTGCATAAAGCCCCTATAATATGAGCAGGTCATGCCAAATTTGCTATATCGTTATACAAGCGCAAGCTTGCCTGGTACCAAACATTTGCAACTTGTCCAACATCCAACATGACTTGTAGTTGAGGGTGTCATCCAATGATTGATCAGCGTTTGGCGGCGGACCTTTCCTTCCATGCCTTTCTGGCCTTTTCACCTTTGTCCTTCTGTGCGTTTTGTGTCAATGGATGCCACTATGTGGAAACGAATCGCTTCACTAAATCCAGATTGGTTGAAGCAGGAGGATTGTTGCCTCCAGGCCTACATTATCTTCCTGGAGGTCATGAGTTTATGCAGGAGCCGCATTAATCGGACGATGAAGGATTCATTGTTTATTTGTACATTGTGCAGAACTTGCACATTCTGCATCTCGACATTCGATTCGATGTACCTGCATGGCCTGAATTGCCAAGCAGCAGTCGTGAAACATACAACACGCAGACGCAGACAGAATTTAAATGAGCTTACCTGCGTTTGCAGTTTATACATTCTCATTGACTGGAGGACCAGAGACCGAATATCCTGACAGCCTGGCGTGCGGCTGCTCTATGGTTTTTGTACGACGGCTAGAAGGGACATTTGGGCGACACCAGTACTGCATGGTGTGAAGGCCGTTGATGCAGTGCTCCAATTGCGTTTCCATTTTTGGGAGTATACGACACATGTGGATCGACACATGTGGATCAACGCAACTATGATCATTTTCATTTACGCAACTATGTGGACTTTTCCCTGAAACGGGTGGCAAAGTCCATCATATGGACATCCGGCTTTGAGGACATGAACCTCCAATTCACCCGAGAAGTAGGTTTGTTGCGTGTCAAGTGTCTAGCATGTGAACAGTGTGATAATATAATATATATATATGTGTGTTTGTGTGTCCATCGAGCATGCAGCATGTGTTTCATTTCCGTTTTTGAAGACTGAGGTCGGGATGCCATCGGTCGACTTGTGCAGCGCCGTACCATGGAGGAGTGGTTGAGAAGCCTTGTTTGGAAACTGCAAAGAGATTCATGATTGAACATTTTGGTTTAAGCCATCGGGTTTCCATTCTTAAAAACCACCTTTTTAACATCATCTACTGTAGATAAGATAGATAAGACATATTATTAGACATTTTTTTCAAGATCGATGGCATGACACCAAAGTCCTCGACAACATCCAGTGCCAACCAGGCAGCAGTACTCGCGGCACGCGGTTTGGGTACAACATCTGCAGGCAAGCCAGTGCCCTGAACACTGTTCGTGTTGTTTATGCCTATGTTTGGGCGTGCAAGGTTCGACTATGGGTTCATTCAAGCTCCTTTACAGGACCAGTAGGTCTATCTGCGGGAAGCCAAAGAAAGGTATGGAATAACATGAGTAGCCGCTGTGCCACCTCAGTTTGAGGTGTCTCGAATAGATGTTTCCCCAAACAGTTTACTGTTAGGGAATTCTTTCTTAAGATGTGTCCGCCCGTTCTGTCACTGCCGGTGTCCGCCCTTTTCCGCTGGCCATGAAGCATTTCTATTCGTTTGTCTCCCAGGTGATTTCTTTACTTTTGTCTCCCAGGTTCGGTGCCTGCATTGCTGGTGTCCCGTTTCTGTTGTGATTTCTTTACTTTCGTCTCCCAGGTTCGGTGCCTGCACTGCTGGTGTCCACCCTTTTCCGCTGGCCATGCAGCATTTCTATTCATTTGTCTCCCAGGTTATTTCTTTACTTCCCCAAACAGGTTTCTGTTCGGGGTTCTCAATGCTTTCTAAGGGTGTCCGCCTTGCTGCGGGACAGCGTGTCCGCCTTCCGTCCGGCTTGTCACCCTCTGTCTCCCTTCTTGTTGGTCATTTGTGTCCGCCTTGTCTCCCTCCTGTCTCCCTTTGTCTCCGGCCTTGTCTCCCTTCTTGTTGGTCACTGTGTCCACCCCTTCTCCCTTCTGTCTCCTTTTGTCTCCCTTCTTGTTGCGCGGTGCCAACCTCTGCCTTGCAATCCTTTCCATTTGTCTCCCAGCTCTGGACTGCTGTGTTGCAGTCCTGTACATGTCTCGCTTGCAACCCTTCAAGTTGTCTCCAAGTTCTGGACTGCTCTGCCCTGCAATCCTTTACATTTGTCTCCCAGCTCTGGGCTTGCAATCCATGCAATCCTTTACATTTGTCTCCCTGTGTTTACATTTGTCTCCCAGCTCTAGACTGCCGTATCTGCCTCTGCCTTGCAATCCTTTATTTGTCTCCCAGCTCTGGGCTGCATGTCGCTTGCAATCCTTTACATCTGTCTCCCTGTGTCTACATTTGTCTCCCAGCTCTGGACTGCTGTGGCCGCCTCTGCCTTGCAATCCTTTGTCTCCCAGCTCTGGACGTCGCAAGCTCTAGTTGCAGAGTGTTCCGATTTTGAAAAACACAAACTGTTTGGGGTCTACGGTGGTGTAATTTGGGCACTTTGGCCATCGCGCAAGCTGGAACCACTGCACTGGTCAGTTGAGAGAAACTGCAACTTAACATGCTGCTATTTGCCCTGTTTCCTAGCTACAACCTGAATTGTGCAAAAAAACACAACTGGGTTTACATGATTGGCTGGATGTGATACCCAGGTGAATAAGTAAAGTACGCCTGCACACAATCCTTTCAAGACAGACAGACAGGGATGCACAAACCACAAAGACCCTATGTATCGCTATGATTGGGGAAAAAAAGGGCCATGCCCATGGTCCCTTTTCCTGAGGCTTCATCGGTCTGGCTCCTCCAAAAGAAGGCGCGCCGGGGCAGCGTGTGGAGCACTGCAGAGACAAATTCCTACAAAAGAGTCAACACACTTGCAAGTCATGCAATGCAAAAATTATCAAAACTAGATGCACTGCATGGTGTGCTGATTTGATTTGAAGCTGTTCACACGCTTTTATTATGCGAAATGTACTCAGGTCCTCCTACCCGCAAGAAGGAGCTGCCTCTCTATGCCGTGTGCAGCTGCCCTGTCTTGAACTCTGAAAGCACAGTGGGTTTCGTGCTGCGGAACTCAATTTGGCCAAGAATCTTCAGCGCATAGCCGAACTTGGCATGTTCTTGGCTTCACTGTTTTGCAAAAACTGTCAGCTTTGCAGCAGCCTTCCGCAAGCCTGAAACTCCATGAATAAACACACAATAGATTCAATAGATCCTTTTGGCATACAGTATTTCCGGAGTAGCACTCACCTGCAGAGTCGTCTTCACTTTTGCCTTTGGTGTCATGCCTCCACGGAGCCTGGTCTCGCATCCAGGCGGTGGCAACAGGCAACAGCTCAGTTGAAGCCCGAACCCAAGGCAGATGCCAAAGCACAGCCAAAGATGCTGAAGGCGGCTACAGGCAGGTTCCAAAGGGCTGGGGAAATCGCTGTTCGATGTTCAAGTTTTGGGTCACTTGTGTGACCCCGTCTAAGGACAGTATTCTCCATGGACTGGAAAACAAGTGTTTGCAGCGTCCTGTTCGGAGTGAAAAATAGACTGGCTGACGTTTCCCGCAGTCTCGTTTCCGTGGAGAGGAAGACAACGAGTAAAAACTCTAAACTGTTTTAAACAGCACTTGGAGTTTGAAGGTCGCAAGAATTCATCCGTCGGATGTCCACAAGTCGCCAGCCTTTGCTGTGAAGCACTGGTGCAGGGGTACCCTTCTTGGTGAAGCTCACCTCCGAGCCACTCAAGGAAGGCCAGGCTGGCCAGGTCGATGGACAAGATTTCTGCTTGCGGGGACTCGAGCAGATCAAGGGTTTAAGGCTTTGCCCAATGCTTGTTGGTGTATATATATATAATTATGTATATATATATATATATGTATATTACTGAATGTATATATTACACTGACACACTCTAGTTGATTATCAGATTAAGAGTCGACCTGAGGCTCAACGCTCAAAGGAGACAACGATGCATGAAGACCCTTCACAGACCTTGGCATTCCACGGCCAAAAAATATCATCGTCCCAGGCGAGGTGGCAGAGGTGGTTCAAGCAGCACAACGAAGTTTGCAGTTAGTGCTGAACTTGGAGGGGAGACTTTGAGGTCTGACTTAGGCTCTGGGCTGGACTCGATTCCGCCTGGGGTCTTGGAGGGTTGGGGGGGGCACTTCTGATGACGTGGTTTTTGGAACATGAACGAAGAGGCTGTGCACGATGGTCGCCTTGGCCGTCTCAAGCAATCATACTTGGACGCTTAGGTGATTGCTTGCTTGCCCACGCAGGGTATCTTTGAGCAATATGAGGCATGGAGATCATCTCAACAAAGCAACTTGGCAACTTGTCTTGTTACAACTAGATTGGATATGTTTGCCCAGAGCTTCCTCACAAGTGACAGCCAGTAGATTATGATTGTGCTGCCTTTTGTCAGGAGGAGCTCCAGCTTGCATGGCACTTTGTTCACTTGGTTCAGCTGGGGAATCTCAGTGGGGGAATGGATGCTATAAACTCAGACTTTTATTAAGGGAGGCAGTGCACAGTGTCGTTGGCAGCGGTCGTAAGTACATCTTCACACGCCAAATTCTTTTCTTTGCCCGGTTTGACGTGGCTCTCAACTGGAATTCGTGTACCCACTGTTGTAGTGTCAGGCACTCGTACTAGTGTCAGGTACGCGTTCACATCATTGGTTGGTCTCAAAATGTGGACCCCAAAACTTCTAGTGACTAACGGAGCGGGAAGTGCCGTGAGGAACTTTTGTTTGCTTGCAGAGACATCAACCCATACTGTGTGCATCGATTTGGATGCCGTCGCTAGTGGAGCTTCAATGCTGGAGAAGTTGCTCTGACTAAAGCCCTCTCGGCGGTGCCTTTGTCGCGGCTGCTCCTGGCCTTACCACCAGGAACAAGAAGCTATTAGAAACAAGAAATAGATAGAATTAAGCTAAACTTAAGATTAGAAGCTATTAGAAGCTTGGATACTTACTAGCAAGTACTACGTGTAGCCTCTGATCCACTCATGGATGTAAGGACGGTCTGCAGGGACTTTTCCAAGAACACAAGACCTGGACAAACATGGCTCCGAGCACCGTCCGCGGTTTCAGCAGACCAAGGCGTTTATTGGAAGCTGGAGTGCCGTGCTCAGTTGTCATTCATTGTACTTCTGGCGCGCCAAACTTTCCAGCACCATGTTTCCCCACCCTGAGTCTGGTGGACACTGTCTCAAATGGCATTCTTCCGGAACAAAGCCAAACAGCATTTGATCATGTTCTATCGTCTATAGTGATCAACCCCCTATTTTGCGCACATGGTTTCATTTCCACGATGATTTCACAAAAGACATGTGGTATCATGGCGTTACATGCATAAATTTGCACTAGGAGCAAGGACGCCACTAGGAGCAAAGGGCATCGCAACTAGGAGCAAGAAGCTACTAGGGGCTCCTGGCCATACTACTAGTAACAATAAAGCATCTCTTCTTGCACGAATGCGGTGAATGGACGAGACCGGTTGTTGGCGCGACCATCAGATGTTCGGATACAGTCGGGTTTGAGGGAGCTTGAATTAGGAATGCGTGGTCCTTCTTTGGGGTACTCTTGTATGCGAGTGTATATATATATATCATATGTATCCCCCCCAAAGACTCACCCTTCTGCAATCTTCTGCCAAGGAATTGGGATAAAGTATAGCTTATACAGCAATCTGGAAGCGCAGTTTTGTGCGCACAGTTTCTTGCCTACCAACTCGATGGACTGTTGTGCATTCAATCAACACCTGATTGCATTTGTTTGAGCAGTATATTCATTTGCGTAAAGCTTCAGTCAACATAGTTGCTTTGTGCAGCATCTAGAATCTAAGCACACAGGGAAGATTCTTCATGAAACAATACCACGAGGATGTTCGGTCCTTTTATATGCACAGCAAATCAAAGATAGGTGGAGGGAACCGCCGCCATGAAACGCTTCATACCCAACCAGCTCAATGGGTGAGGTAAAGCACCGAGGCAAACCCTTGAATAGGCATGAACATACCGCTTTCCCAAACCGACCCGGTGCACGGTCTGGTTTCAGGGAGTGAAAGAGATTGCACTGTATTTCGGAGAACAGGCATGAATGTTTACTGTTTCACGGGGACCTTGAAATGGGAAATGCATCAACAAACAATACGCAACAAAACGTGCCAAACAATGTCAGCGGGACGCACAAGGACTTCAACTGGATTCTGCATTGCTCTATTTCATTTTTTTGGTGGACAGTGCTTCATCCGTAGCAAGACTCGAGGGACTGTGGATATATTCCAGCTTTTGGACTCGCAGTGAGTCGAAGTGGGTTTGTTTCGTCCAAGAAATGTTGGCAGCCCTCTGTTGACTATTTGACTGATCATGTTCAGGTTGAGTGACTTTCCAGACACGTGACACGGTCGTCATCCTCCGCGCAGAATCTGGGTTGGTCAGGTCTCTGCCAAGCTTCTAGTAGTCACTGCTGCGGCTTCAACCGGAGCAATGGTGGCTGGTGCCAGCAAGGCCCCAGGGCAAAAGAATGGAAAGCGGGATCCCTGAGAGCGCCACAAATTATGTTGATACTGTATCTAGTTCTGGAATGATCCCAGCAGGATCACTGAACTCCATCTTGCAATGTTGCATTTTATCTCCTTCCGGTTCATACTCACCATGTTCAGGCGGTGGCCATGGAAGCTTCCGAGCTGAAGATCCAGCGTGCCTCACTATCACTGTAGAACTGTTCGCAAATCTTGCAGAAATCGCAAGTTGAAAGGATGCACATGTAATTGAGCTCGGCAAATTTTCATAGACATGTTGCCTCTCACAGATTCCACACGTCACGTTGTGACAACTGGATCGCGATGCTTCTTTTCCCCAAAAGGAATCGCCCGATCAGGACCATACACTGTACACTGTCAGCGAGGAAGTAAGAAGACTCATCCGTATAGCAATTTCTTGGGCCAGAGCATGGTCAGGCAATTTCTTGGTTCCTTCCAGCAAGACAGCGTCTGGAACAGCCCATGCTAGAGCATGTTTTACACGAGGACCCTTCAAATCCACCCCTTTAAAAAGAGTGTTCACGATTTCTTCTCGTGTCAGGTATCTTCGTTCCGCGAAGTTGTCTTCAAGCAATCTCGGAGCACGCGCGGAGCTCAGGGTGGGCATCACGTGCAAGAGACTGCAACCACCGCTGTTCTGTTTACCTATATACTTGTTCGATTTATATCATGGTCTTGTGCTGAATTGCTAAGTAGAACGCATATCTGCTTACTTCCTCAGGTGGAGAGGCTATGCTCAGCCTCAGAGTTGTACAGCCACGAGCAGGGTCGCCCAGAGGGCGGCAAGATGCAAAGGTCAGTCTTGTTCTGAAGTTGAACTCCGGTGTGGATAAGTTAGGTTTTGAGTAGTTAAAGTGTTTTTGTATGTACATATATGTCCCCACTAGCATACCATGTTTGCCGGCGATTTATAAACCCTTGCTATACAACACCAGAAATACTTGCTGTAGATGGTATGATATTTTACAATATTACATATATATATATAGATCCACTACGACCGACACCATTCTCTTATCCTTTCCCTTTCTGATCTTCTCACCATGTCCTCTCATTCCCGATTTGTCAGTGTGCTTTGCTATGACGAACATGCATTTTTTTTTGTTTGTGTGTGTTAGAATGGGATTGACACTGCCGTTCTGAACATGTGATGGAGTTGATGGCAGGCGGGGCCTGAATAATTTCTCCAAGGGGATTTTCAGCTACGTCAATGTCAAGTGTTGGGTCATGTAACGACAGCACGACTTCCATACCACTGCAGGTTGCTGAGCGGGGCAGTTGCTTCGTGGGGGCAGTTGCCGGAGAGGGTGCCAGACAGCAGCTTCGAAACCCAATAAAAGAAGGTTGACAAGCCCACGGCCAGAGGCGAACTTAGCCCATGTTGCTTTGCGCACCAATCTGGCCGGAAAGAGTGCCACACGGCAGCTTCGAAACCCGCTAAAAATGGTCAGCGTGCCCACCCTCTGCCACAGCCTTAGCCCATCGGTTCTGCGCGCAAATACGGCTGGAAAGGGTGCCAGACGGCAGCTTCGAAGCCCGGGTTGGCAAGCCCCCATGTTGTTCTTGCACGCGTGCCCAGACGGTAGCTTCAAAGCCGACTACAAAAAGGTTTGCAAGGCCAGGGCCAGAGTCATGGAAGGCGTGCCGTGCCTCGCCACGCCCTTGGACCTTTGCTGCGTGCAAGAAAGCAGCGGCAGCATCGCCAAAGAAAGACATTGCCCAAGGCCCAGCAGCAGGTAACTGGACAAAAGGTAAAGGTGAGGATTCCGCCCTGCGGTGTCCCGGCATCGCCCGGCTTAGAGCAGGCTAAGCTGGGGTCGGCGGATATAGCTGCGTATGGGTGTATGTAGAGGGGGATGAAAGCACTTGTTGTGTGGGCACTCCAGAATCAATCAGAATCAGTTAAGATCACGCAGTTGTCAAAGGCCTAAGCACACAGGCACTTTCTCAATCATGTTTCCTTTGTCAGTTGGAAGGTGCTCAAAGATTCAATGTGCCAAGGATGAAAGAGTGCACAATGAGTTGTCATTGGATGACGTTTGGTTCAGCTCACTCATCTCACGCGTTTTCTCTGAGGACCGATATTTGGCTCAGACATGAGATGAGTCGCACTGCTTATGCGTGGAACTCAAAATATCGCAAGCTCAGTGAGGAGCAAACCAAGATTCCCGGGCAAGGCACTTGTGACATCTTGTGTCCACACCATGCAAGTCGGTGCATTTTTGTTCCAGGTGCAACTGCAGGGCTGTGGGGTTTTGAAAGGCATGGATACAGTAGGCTCAGTAGACTTTCGCACCCAGGGAGGTTTCGCAACAAACCACCTACAGTGCAGGTTCGAACTCACACCGGAAAACTGCACTACACAACATCAAATATCAAGAGGCCTGACTGAATTACGTATCAGGAGCCACTCAGCCTACATTCGTATTTTATTGTTGATCTCTGCACATAGTCTAAGCAGCGCAGGTCTTGATATGATAGCAATGAACACCTCCAGCAAACCTTTTGAGCACAGAAACATGCAGTGTTTGCTTGCTTCAGGTGCCACGCCTTGAGCGATGCCTGAGCAGTGGCCGAAAGCGGTGTATTCAGTTACATGGTGTGGATGGGGACCGCCGGGCAGGGCCGAAATGCAAGGCGGTCATTATTGGCAAAGCGGCAAATCAGCACATAGATCATGGTCGACCGTGGACAAGTTGAAATCTGTTGACAAATGGACTTTGAACCAATGGTTTCCACTTGCAGACACAAAAGAGTTGTAGCTCGAAGGACACAGACAAGGTGGTGTGCGAACACGTTTCCCTCGTTCCACAACGATTTAAGTTGTCATGTTCAAACCAAATTACTCTAACTGCATCGTGCCCCTACCCTTGAGATTGATGCAGAATGATGCATAGTTGTTTTGCAGTTGATTTTGCATGGGCTACTGACACAATGCCATCCCCTGACTATTTTACTGCCTAATACTTTAAGGCTTACAGCAAAACAACCCTTCACTGGTTGGTTCGCCTTGTTGGGCCATGTGATTTTCTTCCTTCTTCTTGTTCTTCTTTTGCTCTGTCCCCCTCCTCCTCCACCACCTGCACCTCTTTCTTCTTTGCAAGCAAGCAAACCACCAGTGGACAGAGTGCTGATCATGCAGCTCGTGCTCGCCAGCACTTTTAGCATTTCAGCAGTCTCCAATTTCGACAAGCAGAACTGCAAAGAGGTAAAGTTGCCTGCTGGCATTTTTGGATCCACTCTTCCAAAGTAGCTGTGAAACGAGAAGAAACCTTTCCTAGCTTCACATTCTTCCCTTTCAAGCTTCACCTACAACTTTTCGCCACTGCCTGACTGTCGATATTCAGTGCACTGTGCATTTTGCACTTCAACTGGTCTATATAATTGATACACTTTTTTGAGCTCTTTAAACTCTTTCCCGCTTAGTCCTCTGGTGTGACACCTTTCTATTTCTATTTGACTTTCTAGATCATTGAGCGATGCAGCTGCACCTGCGCTCAAAATCATGTGTAAACTGAAGCCGCAAATGAGTAATCTACCTCATGCTTCTGTCATCTCTTGTCTACCTCGTCAGTTCTTTCATTTGCTGCCATTTGGCGTGCAAGGAGCTTGCGAGCTACGTGCTCACGGGTGCCACTGGCGGCCTGGGGAAGTCTGGCGACCCAAAAAGCGCCTTTCGGGGACAGGGAAACCACAGGACCTCATATTATGCTCAGAAGACCGCCCTGTTCAGCATGCATGGACTATGGTGAGCCACTAGGAGCAAGGACGCCACTATATTATATAGTATATAGCTCTTGGCATCGCTGCTAGTAACAAAAAGGCCATCGCTACTAGGAACCAATGACGCCACTCTAAGCCTTGAGCTCCGCAGCTCCGCCCTTCTCCCTCCCTCTGCCTAGGGCTGTGGTGTCTTGGTTGGTGAACGACCAGGTGGGCCACGATTTGGGAAACACTTTGTTGCGGGGTTTACAACTCTCACATCGTTCCTGGATTTGAGATTGTTAGTGATCTAGGTTCCTCCGTTTTTGGCTTTGCAGGGCTTGCAGCCAAGCCAGCTGGTGCTGCTCAGACGCGCGGGCTCAAGCAAGCTGGATGATGATTTAGCCAAGTGTACTGTGGTCGAGGCCTGGTGAGAGAGGGATCGCAGAATCACAGGCATTTTAAATTGTTCTTGTTTTGGTCATCCTTAAAGAAGCACAGAATCATCCAAACAATCTACGTCAAGTTGTTTGTAGAACCTAGAGAGGCAATGGCTCGTAGGAGTTAAAAACCATGTTAAAACCATGATGCAAAAAAAGGGAACAATGATGTGTCCCACCTACCTGGCACAACAGAGTCGATGCAAAGGCATGCACTTGTGAACCAACCACGAGGTCGCAAGTTCATCGATGTAGGTGTCGGACCACATGCGGCAAGCGATGCTGCGAAGGAAGGCAAATCATTTTTAACATCACGAACCCTTGTTGTGCAAACAACATCATTAGAAACTGACTGTACTGGTGGGACTTGAAGACGAAGGCAACGAGCCTGGTGAACACCCCAGCTGCCCTGGATTCGATGAGTCGTGATGAATCATGAGTGTCCTGAACTTGGCTCAACAAATCTCAGGATCCCACCGATTTGTTAAGGAGTGTTTTGTGGCCTTGTTCCTTGCGCGCAAGGGCCGCAAGGGCAACTGATCGCCTGTGCACGGCTGGTGCCAGGGTACTCTTTTCTGACATGTTCAAACAATCGGACGCAATCGGACGCGAAGAGCCGGCTGCAATAGCAACAGTACTGTCCAAAAGTGTCCAAAAGGATGGAGCCTGCTCAAAGAAAGTAGGTCCGAATCATGAAAGCCATAGTGGGCCATGTGATTGTCAGTGTCAGGCACCAGCTTGCAGTCAATTTTTGACCCTGCCATGCCCGTGTGCACTACACACAGAGGCACAATCAAAGCACACACCCGGGCACAAGGTCGTACGCGTGTAAGCAGGGGTACAGATGCTAATCCCACATTGCCTGCATCCATTTGTATGTCCTTCCGGGACCTGGAATAAGTAATGATTGTTTCTCACGTGAGAAAAACCTCATTACTCCTTCCAGGTACTTATTTTGACCGCTCCGCGGTCTGAAACCGCGTCTCGAGTGCCCAGGGAAGGTGCGACTCACCAACCGAGGCGACCCTGGTGGGGTGGTGAGTCGCACCGCCTGGGCAAATCGAGAAGTGTACCAACAAGACCTCTGCATTTAGTACGGGCTCTGCACATTCTCTTGACGTTGGGCCACACAGGTGACGTGTCTCCATGCTTGGTTCAGGAAAGGCATTGTATTCTAATGACGGGGATTGAATGGATGAAAATCGAGCAATCCGCTCACTGTTGGGGGTCTCTCTTAGGGAAAAAGAAACTGGCCACAGTCTCTGGGTGCGGCTGGTGAACGCTGTGTCCGGGCGTTGTCCTTCTGTTATCCTCTTCTTGTCACGTCCTTCTTCTGGTGTGCAGCTTGGCCGCAGCTGCCAGCCGGTCTCCAGACCTTGTTCTCCCCTCTTTTGTCTTCTTCTTGCCGTCTGATTGTCCTCCTCTTGTCCTTTGTCCTCTTGTTTTACTTCTGCTGGTTTCCAGCTCGGCCGCGCTGGTGAGCCCTATGTCCGCCTGTTGTCTTCTTGTTGTGCTCTTGTCCTTCTTCCAGCTTGGCGCAGCTGCTAGCCCGTCTCAAGTCCTTGTCCTTTTGTTGTATTCTTTTTGTCCTCTCCTTGCCCCCTACTTTTCCTCTTCTTGTCCTGCTGTTGTCCTCTTCTTGTCCTCCTTTTGTCCTGTTCTTGACCTCTTCTTATCCTCCTATTGTCCTCTTGTGACACCAGCTTGGCCGCGGCTGCCAGCCAGTCTCCAGACCTTGTCCTCCTGTTGTCCTCTTTTGTTTTTTCTTCCTTGTCCTCTTCTCCTCTTGTGTCCTCTTCTTGTCCTTGTTGGCCTTCTGCTGGAGTCCAAACGACAGCGTGGCAGCATGTAGACATGACGCCATGACAGCGTACGCGCCCGCGCACGCAGGCGCGCGAAGCACCCGGCAAGAGCGAAGAGCAGCATTCAGGTAGGCAAAAAGAATCTGGCCACAGTGTCAGGCCACGCCGGCGAGCCCTGTCCGGATGTCCTCCCCTTCTCACTTCTCCTCTTGTCACAATCTTTCGGTGCTGTCTTTGTTGTCCTTCTTCAGGTGTTCATGGCCGTGGCTGCCAGCCCATCTCCGGTTGTCCTCCTTCGTCGTCTTGTCTTTCTCTTGTCCGCTCTTCCTCTTCTCCTTTTGGCATAGTCCGGTCACGGCTTGTCCTGCTTTTGTCCTCTTGGTGTGTTCATGTTGTTTCCTCCCCTCATCCTTTTGTCCTCTGTTGTCCTCCTCTGGTCTTGCTGCTGTCCTTTACATTGCTTTCCAAGGCAGCTGGGGCTGCGGCCGCCACCACAACAACAATTCTTGCTGACTAAGCTGTTTGGGGTCTTTGCTGGCGTAATTTGATACGCCCTTTTGCAACACAGTGGCCAACTACTTGGACAGGCTGCTAAAAGCCAGTTTGATAGGACTGTGTTGCAGACTTTCTGCAAGCAATCACTTACACTTACACTTACACCATTTTTGGGAGACTGAAAGGTTCTTTGCTTGGGCACCACAGCGATAGTAAAAAGCTTCCTTTCCTCCCTTGGGATCCTTCAAGCAATTTTGTGCCAGGCTGCAGCTGTCGATAGCAAAGACAGCCTCAAGTTGGCCTTGGAGAAAGCTCACAGCTCAGTTGAAGAAGCCGACATGATCATGACATTCTTGAGTTGGCTTTGGATTGTAAATAAGGTTCGACATGTCACCGGTGTGTTCCATTTAGCTGGGGTGCTTGATGATGGCATCATCGGAGGCGCCGGGCGCGTGCGAGTGTGTGTTTGAATTTCCGAAGTGATCGATTTTTCCCGAATGCATAGCAAAGGGTTCTCGTTTAACTCTGGGGGTCTGGGGTAGACCCTTGTTCGCCACTCGTTGTCGTAGCGTTCGCAACCGTTTGCAGCGGTTCGGAGTGTTGCGCTACGAAGCTCACATTGGGTGAAGCTTTTGGACAGGGTTTTGGATGGAAGCATGAGGTGTTAGATTCGTGTCTGTGAAACAGCGAGGAACGTGTGTTAACGTGAGAGGATGAAGTGTGGAGGATGATTTCACTGCGCAGGCGGGGCGTTTTGTGAGATCCTCAGTTTTCTCCCCAGTCACATTGGGATTGGCGTTTAGAGAGTGGTGTTTTTGGGGCGTCGGATGTGGCTGTGACATTGGGATTTGCATTTCAGGCTGTGACAAGTCCCAGCTCAAACGGCAATTTTGGTGGATGGGAGTGTGCTCAACGTGTCGAAATCATTCCAAACGTGTGGTGTGGTGCAAGTTTTGCCGAAGCTAACATGATATGATATTGTCACACTTCGTGGCAGGCACAGTACTTTGTGCGGGCTTTGAGGTGTGAAAGTACCGTTTTCGTGGCGCACACAGGGAATCGTGAGGTTGCAAGATGTGGCGGAGGTCACATTTCAAGCAGGCGCAATACTTTGTGCGTGTTGGAGGTGTGGACGTGCTCCTACTAGAGTGTCCAACAAGAGTGTGCTACCAAGTACCAGAGTGCCCCACAAGAGTGTCCCACAAGAGTGTCCTACAAGAGCGTCCCACAAAATTGTCCTACAAGAGTGTTCCGCAACAGTGTCGCACAACATTATCATACAAGAGTGTCCCGCAAGAGTATCCTACAAGAGTGTCCTACAAGAGTGTCCCACAAGGGTGTTCGACAAGAGTGTCCTACAAGAATTTTATGAATCCATGGGGCAGAAGGTTGCCTGGTTGGAATTTCAGCCCGCACGCAGCCATTGTTCAGCGGACGAGGATAGCCTGTCCTACAAGGGTGTGGGACTGTCCTGCAAGAGTCTTCCGGGAGAGTGTCCTACAAGAGTGTTCCGCAAGAGTGTCCGACAAGAGTGTCCTGCAAGATCCTGCAAGAGTGCCCCACAAGAGTGTCCCACAAGAGTGAGCTACAAGAGTGTCCCTCCAAAGAGTGTCTTACAAGAGTGTTCTGCAAGAGTGTTCCGCAAGAGTGTCCCTCAAAAGAGTGTCCTACAAGAGTGGCTGTGGAACTGGCAGCTTTGTAGTGCAAACGTAGTGCAGGAAGCAGTTTCTGGGAGCTGTGGCCTCAGAACTGTCAACTTATGTGGCCAAATTACATCTGAGTACCTGAGTGTCGTACGTGAGTACCCCACAAGAGTGTTGCGCAAGAGGCCACAAGAGTGTCCCACAAGAGTGTCCTACAAGAGTGTCCTGCAAGAGTGTCCCGCAGAGTGACGCAAGTGTCGCACGAAAGTGTCCCACAAGAGCGTTCTACAAGAGTGCCTCCTACAAGAGTGTTAAAAAGTGTTTGGGCGACTGTTTTCGAAAGCGTGTTTGCATTCGGGTTCGTGGGCTCCGTTTTGTTCCAAAAAATCCGCTATATAACTATGTAAGTAGGCGCCTACACTACCTAGGACGCAGGCTTGTTTGTTGGCCTCTTAAGATCTCTTAAGACTCTTGAGCCCGGATAGAAGCGATTCGCAGATTGATCTCATTTGGAACTCGATTTGTGCAACTAGGGATCGGAGATCTTCGTTGCCGGACAAGCTCTTGTGTTGCTGAATGTGCAGTGCAGCGTGACACTATTTTTGCAAGGCATGACGGAGCAAAGAATGAAAAAGGCTGGATGGTGCAAACCGGAAGTTTCAAGTTTGCTTTCAACTTCCCTATGATCATTTCATTTTGGAGGACAACTATGTCTCTGAACCTTATTGTGTCCAGAGTCCTGGTCTTGGGATTCAGAGATTGATTAACTGCATCAGGTGGCGCAGCCCAAGTGCGGCATGCTCCTGGCATTGCTGAAGGTAGCCAAGGAGCGCACAAACCTGAATCTTCCAGCTTTGAGTACGGAGTCAATTGTCAAAAAACCGTACAATCAAATTCTGATTGGATTGTTCAAAACAAGCAGTTCAGAGTACGGCACCTAGGACCTAGTCAGTCTAGTACACTGAGAACAAGTCGGCCTTCCATAGTCCTGTTTGAGAGGAATTGGATTGGCCGCTACAATGGGCCCTTGGATTCTCGTCTACGTCTTCTCTCTTTGGCTATGCTGGGCAGGCACTTAACGCTTACCTGCTCAACACAGCATGCTGCAGGAACACTGCCATGATCTCCTGCATGCATTTTGTTTGTGTGATGTTCTTCAGCTGTTTGTCATTCCTTTCCTCCAGAATAGTCTCAGTATTTCTTTTGGAATTTCTGGTGATAGTGATTGTGCAGAATCACAAGCGGGGTCAGACCTGTGTCGTACAAGGTGGACACAGGCACTGATCAGCTGCAACTAAACTTATGACATGTGGGTTACACATTGAAGCTTTCTTGACCCATTACGGTTTGGATCGGATGGTGCGCCTATACAAATATCGAACAGAGAGATTACACACAATGAAGAGACTGCTGCAAAAAAGGCTGTGGCTGTAGTTTAACCGGTTCGATTGATGGTGTATGACATCGAAGGGCTATTTTCGCTTTGAGGTGAATTATTGTGCAGCCAACTCGATGCTGGATCACATGTCAACCTTTGCCAGCGACGGGGCGCTGCCAGAGGTGTGGGAAGAAAACTACTGCCAGCACCTTTTCATCCCAATTGTGAAACAGGATGAACAAAGAAGTTGTTTGGGCCTCTTTAATACATAACGGTCTGCCTTCGGGACGCCGGGCAGGTGCGTCATCACGTCACGTCAGCGTCACGTCACGTCAGTCACCGGCGCGTCACTACGTCACGTCAGCGTCACGTCGCGCACGTCACGTCACGTCACCGGCGCGTCACCGTCACGTCAGCGTCACGGTCACGTCACCGTCACGTCACCGTCACGTCACTCCAAGGCCGTCACGTTGGCGTGGCATCGCTGCATGAGTTAACTCCATGAGCGTCCGACAAGACTTCCATAAATGCACTTTATAAAGGAGACGCCGTCAGCATCTCAGAGCTGATCAAGACTCGGCGTAATCGATAGGGGCCAACCCGATACGGACCGATAGCCTTCCTTGGCTTGAGGCTATGGCAGTAACATGCGAGCAAGAGACAGTTGCGCAAGAAGATATTTTCCACATTAAGGCAAGTGCCTAGCAGTTGCAAGTTAATTAGTTGACTTGCCAAATATCACAAAAAATCACTACCACTACTATTCCTACTGCTACTACTACTACTACGACGACGACTACTACTGCTGCTGCTGCTGCTGCCACTACTTCTACTATTCGTATTTCCATTATTACCTATTACTTTTATTACATTGTTCTATTTCTACTGCTACTGCTACTACTACTACTACAACAACTACAACTACTACTAGTATCCTTTCTCAGTCCTGGCTATGAGATGTCTGTCTGAGTACCTAGCACAGCTTCTTGCAATCATGAAGCTAGATTTTGCTTCGATATTCAACAGCAAATCAAGACAGCCGGCACATCAAGGAATGCCTGTGCCGGAAAGGAAACGTCTGTCACTGTGAACGTGCCTGTGCTGGAAACACTGGGCGCAACCCATCTCTGCACCATTGCAGCTGTCTACGTGCCGGCTGGTGACACAGTCTGCCATGGGTTCAAGAGCAAAGGAAGAGTTTAAATGTGTCGCTCAGGGGATTTCTTTACCTAAAGTGCCTGCGCCTAAATTTGGTGCCCCTAACACACACTTCAACGCAAAAA